GGCCCTATATACCCATCAACCCGCGGCGAGAGGAGCTCCCCGCAGGCCTGTCGTTCGGACCGCGTGGAGATCGGGGAACGGTGGTAAATCCCCCCTGGCCATGGCGCTGAGGGGTTTACTGCATATTGAGCCGACCCTAGGCGAGGTAGTAAAGTCAGCGACCAGAGACCATCGCTGTCACGCCACAAGACTGCCTGTGGTCGGCCGAGGGTTCATGGGATGGAGAGCCACGATAGGTGGGAGTTCATTTTGGAACTACATAGAAACATGGAACACGCTGACAGAATATTATGTAGAGAACATCTTTATGTGTGTGAAAAGGGAGCAAAGGAAGATTGAGCAGTAGTGGCGGAACACCTTCGTAGGTAACGGGGGGGGGGGGGGGAGGGGGGCACTGCCGACTTTTGGTCCCATTCTTTCCATGCAATGCCCATAGGGCTAATGTTAAAATGCCAAAATCAAAGGGAGGCACGGTGCCCCGGTGCCCTCCCCGTTCCGCCGCCTATGAGATGAAGGGAGACCCCTCCCCCGAGCACCCACTCACCTTTTGGAGACTCGAAGATTCGAACCAGACATGCATTTACTTTATCTTTGCGCCTTGCGACGATAATAGGGCATCGCAGAGATACAAATGAAAAGAGAAATGACTCTCATAGTTACCAGCAGCACGGCACAATGCAAAATTAATTACACTAGACCCTTTCATATTAGCTTCCCATCAACATTCAGACCGTGCCCCACACACCCTCACACCTCACGCGGTTGTCAACGCACTGCTCGGCGTTTTCGGCCGCTCCACGCCTGTCATCAGATCCCTCGCGGGTCACGTGACATTTGCCCCGAGGCAGACTGGCGCCGGGGGGGGGGGGGGGGGGGATTCGGCCCGTCTCGGCCGGCTCCGTGGCAACAAGAAAGGTCGCGGGGCTGGTGGTAATCAGGGGACTGACGAGCCATTGTCTTGTTTGCAGAGAGGCGTTGGTGTTGATGCTAGCTGTTTGGTTAGAGATTGGCAATGCAGTGGTAATGAGTGGTAACATTTATGACGTACATTTTAGGAGGATATATGTGGAATCAACGACAATGCCATAGGCAAGTCAACCTGGCAATGTGGTCATGGTGCTGCGGCCAGTCAAGGCCAAAAAGGTTATCAAATGCTTGTATTCAGACTTCAGTAGCTTTTGAATGCATAAGTAGGTAGACTTGACTTTTCTCTACAAAAATATTAGACGCTGTTTCCATCCTATACCTAACTAAAAGTCACTTTGGATTGCTTGCCTGGCTTGCCTATTCATATTCCCAGCGCTCCTAGACTTCTCACAGCCGTATAGCCGTAAGTACCACAGCAATGACCAGTGGCGTAACCACGGTTTCAGAACTTTTCCAGGGCGTCGCCACAAACCTTTGCTTGAGTCTGGTCGCCAACACCCACCTACCCCCAAATCTGCGTTCCTCGTTGGATTTCGGCCACTCTAATTTAAAGACGATGGAGAATAATATTTAGTTGAAAAAAACGAAGAAGTTACCTACGCGGTAGTAGGCATATTCTTCGATCATGAAACGCGTGCCCACATCCTTCTGCCTATGCATGCAGGTACGGTCGCAGACTTGACGTTTGGGGGGGGGGGGGCAACTTGGCAAAGAGGCCCTGTCGACCCTCGGGAGACCCAGTGCTAGCTTGCAGGGGCCCCATTATTACCATACCGGCCTCAAAGGCCGCTTTGGTGCCCCAGAGGCCGGTGTGGGCCCTCAGAGGCCAGTGCGTGACGCCCTAAGGTAAGTCTTGGGCCCCCAGAGAACAAAATATGGCCGGTTTAGTGACCTCATAGGCTGGTTGGGGCCCATAGAGACCAGTTTGGGACCCGCAGAGGCTAGCGTGGTGCCTCAGATGTCAGTGTGGGGCTTTTAAAGACTGGTATGGGTCCTCAGAGACCGGCATCGATCCTTCAGAAGCCAGCACGGGCCCTCAGAGGCACATAAGGGCCAGTCTTGGGTCTCAAGGGCAGAAAATGGGCTATCAGAGGTCGGTGTGTTTAGAGGTCGGCTTGGGCCCTCAGATACCAGTTTAGTGGCCTCAAAGACCAGTAAAGGGCCTAATGGCAGTTTGAGACCATCAGAAGCCGACTTGGGCTCTCAGAGGCTAATATGGGTCCTTACAGGCAAGCATGGAACACTCAGGGGCCAGTGCGGGGCCCTAAAAGACCGGCATGGGCTGGCGTTGGACCCCAGAGGCCAGCAGAGGGCCTTCAGAGCCCAAGATGGCCCCCCAGAGGCCAATGCAGGCCATAAAAAGGCCGGTATCGGATCTTCCGAATCCAGTGCGGGACCCTCAGAGGCTAATATTGGCCCTTACAGGCCAGCATGGGGCCTCAGAGGTCAGTGTGGGGTCCTAAAAGACTGGCATGGGCCAGCGTTGGACCCCAGAGACCAGCAGAGTGCCCTCAAAAGCCAAGATTGGTCCTCAGAGGCCGATGCGGGCCCTTAGAGGCCCTCATCGGGTCTTCAGAATCCAGTGCGGGGCCCTCAGAGGCTAATATGGGCCTTACAGGCCAGCATTGGGGCATCTGAGGTCTGTGTTGGGTCCTAAAAGACCGGCATGAGCCAGCGTTAGATCCCACAGACCAGCAGAGGGCCCCAATGGCCAAAATAGGCCCTCAGGGGCCGATGCAGGCCCTCAGAGGCCGGCATCGGGTCTTCCAAATCCAGTACAGGACCCTCAGGGACACGTAAAGGTTAGTCTTGGTACACCAGAGACAGAAATGCCACCAGAGGCCGATGTGAGGCCCTCAGACGCCGGATGGGCCCCTGAAGCCGGTATAGGGGCTCTTAACCCTCCAGGCGGTGGGGGGGCATTTTTTTGCCCCCCCCTTTAGTTTTTTCGATATATCTCGAGAACCGTTGCGCCGATCGTCACCAAACTTTCAGTACCCTCCCGGGAGCAGCTAGCGCACATGCTGACCAAAATTTTTTTCCAAAGGCTATGATAGGTTGGCCGTTAATGACGTCAGAGTGACGTCATTTTTGCCATTTTCGACCCAAAAAAAGGTTTCGCGGGAAGAGCTGTCAGGCCTACAGCTTTAGAGATACAGAAAAATGTGTCAAACATAAAAGGTGTGAAATTAAAAGGGTTACAAAACTGCTATTTCGGTTTTTCGAATTTTTTGGATTTTGACCCCCAAAAATCAAAAAATAGATTTTTTGAATATAATAGCCAAAAAATCCAAAAAGTTTTTTGAATTTCGAAAAACCGGTATATATGTGATAGCCCCTACCGCTTTCTATCTACATACCAAATTTGAGATCGATACCTCTTTTTTTGGCCAAGTTATAGCGAAAAAACTGTTCAAAATTGATGACGTCAAATTTTCAAACTCAATTTTTAGCAATTTTAGACCTCGTAGCGCAAAACAAAGACCACCATTAGACTCCCCGTGACAAGCTGCATCGAATTAATACCCATTTTATGCAAAAATATCAACTTTGAAATTTGACCTTTTTTGACCTGACCTTGACCTGACCTCCACCAGAAAGTGACCTAAACCGTACCTGATGGTCTTATTACCAACACCATTGAGTTGGAAATGAAAAACTGGCCATAAAACATGCATCGCATAACCTTAGTAAAGTTGGGCTCATGTGGTGACCCTTGGTGACCTTTGGTGACCTGACCTGTGACCTGACCTGGTATGACCAGTGACCTCTAATAGCAACATATGTACTAGACAACTGACGCCTTATCGCTGATTTTCGACAAAATGCGTTTTACTCGGTGTTATAGCGCTTTCCCTAGAAGCCCCGTGAACGGTGAAACATTTTATCTTTGACCTGACCTGTGACGTCATCAGTGACCCCGAGGTCAATGAAATTTGGTTTCCCTGAACAAATTTGACAGGGCTATCGAACGCCGTTTGAATTTTCCGGATCCGTCCAGTAGTTTCGGAGATACGGGGGGGGGCAAAAAAGTGCCCCCCCCCCCCACCGCGCGGAAGGTGGCTGGTAGGCCCACCGCCTGCCGGGTTAAAGGCCAGCGGAGGGCCCTCAGAGGTCAATGCGGGTCCTCCACGGTCAATGTGGGCGCTTAACCACGGAAGGGCCCTCAGAGGTCAGTGTAGGACCCTCAAAGACCGGTATGGAGCTGTTAATAGCTGGCGTGGGTTTCTTGAGCCTCGTGACAATCGAATAAGGGCCGGGGCCCCATCGCTTGTTTTTTTTTTGGGGGGGGGGCAAATTATATGATGACCCCTGATTTTCCCTTGTGGGGGGGGGGGGGGGGACATGGCCCTGATGCCTCCCCCTCTACCCGCCGTCTCCGATCCCAATTCCGATGTTCCAGAGGGAATTGATTTAGGAAATGTTGGCTTGACCAGCGGCCGGCTCAGAACGGCGGCCCAGTACTGCCCTGATCCTGACCTCCCGCCGGGTCCACGCACACTGTGGCGACCAGCCCCTCATACAGCTGAGTCTGCCCCAGCTCGTAACCGGCGGGCAGCTGCATATCGTCATCGGTCGGGTTTATACCTAAGCTGAACCTGTATGTAACCAGCCGAGTTCGTTTCAGCAATCATGCTGGGCACCTCCAGAATCGGCTTGGGTGTCTCCTCGGGTGACTGGGAAACAAACTCGACCAATTTCTCGGACGAGTGCCGGCCTGCCGTATCCAGCTTTACGGCGACCACACGCACGTGCCTAGGGGCCGGAGAGCACCGTCACATCTGTGGGGAGGCACACCGCTCGCGGGTCTTTTTATTTACCGTGGCGATGTTGACGCGACCGTTCGCAAGACAAAATACATGTGTTCGGAGAGCTGAGCAAGTTGCGCCATTATCGTGTCCCGGGTTCTTTGCGTGTCCCCAGTAGAGGGAACTCCAAAAACTTCTAGGGACAATCCCTAGTAGTTTTCGATGATTTCAAAACTTCTAGGGACAATGTCCCTAGTGTCCCTAGTGGTGGTAACGCCCATGGCAATGACGAGTTGCCATTTGTCCTACCTCCAGTGCCGCAGCCGCCGCTGTGACCCGTGGTAACCCGGTCCGACCTCACCGGCGGCACCATGACCTCCTCTGCGGACGAGTCGGCGTCCGCGGAGCGTCACGAGCGTCGCTCCATCTCGTCGCTGTTCAGCTCGCGGCGCGTCTCCTCCGGTAAGCTGGCGCCGACGCTCATCGTCAACGACGAGCTACAGTTGGAGCAGACGGCTGCCGACGGTCGCAGCCTGCACTCGTTCGGCTGCCTGGCCAGCCGGAACGGCAGCGTGCTGGGCAGTCCGACACTGCACCCGCGCCACGACTCGCACCGTGGCCGCCTCACCAGTAGAGGTTAGTCCGGCACAACGCTTTCTAGAGTCCCTAACCAGAAATATAGCCTAGCACATTGTCTACATAGAGTTATCCTCTTAGATGGCTAGCGCAAAGCTTGGGCTAGACTCAGAGGTAAATATTAGTCTAGCTTAGGATGCAGACTCGCAAATAAAGGATTAGCGCAGTTTTGTTTAGAGTTTTGAATATCCGGCAGATGTTTAGCGCAGAGTTTAGGCTTACTAGCGGAAGTTATAGCCTAGCGCAGACCTCAAAATTAATGGCAAAGGTCAGTATCGTGGGTATCATATCGTGGGCCAGTAACATGAGATCAGTGTCGTAGGTCAGGAACGGGGTGCAGGTTGGGTAAGCTGACTCGCACCGTACACTGTAAACTCATTTCAACAAACGTTTGTTACTTTTACAAGGAAAATTATTTAGCGCAAATCCCCGCACCCTTTGCCATGTCATCGAACGACCCTATTGTTTGTCATGGTAGTTTTTCTTACAACCCACTCACATGTAGTTCGTTAGACTAGCTACCAAAGTTTGCTTTGTCATTGTTGTGTGAACGACTGTTTTCCTAGTTATAATCATGCGGCTACTAGGTAAAGACCTGCGCATGTTTGCATTTAACAGGGCTGAGCCATGTACTTGTTAAGTCAAATCAATGCAAATCTTAGTTAGCATAGTAATGTCTACGTGCAGCAAACCTGTACTTGTAAGCAATCTACTAGTCTCAGGTTTGTAACGTTTTACAAAGACCTTCCTTGTATTCGTCAGTTTTCTCCACAAATCGCAGGTCGCCGCTCTGCAGTCTCATTATTACAGCAAAACAGCATTACTGAAAGTAGGTCATGTATTTAAAATGGTACATACACATTACACACACAATGGTGATGACACTCATGACCCAAGGGGCAAGGGCAATAACGCATGCGAAAAGGCAATGAGCGTCATCACTTATCGAGTACACTATAGAATCACACGTTTACATGCATTAGGTTTGAGTTGATAGTCAACTTGGGTTCCCTGCCTCGCAATAACTGGTTTGGGGACTCGCAACATCGAGGAATGCCTTGATTCGGAAATATGTTATTTCTAAGTCTGCGGAACACGAATTTTAAGGGGCAAACCCATTCAAATCTAAGGGGCATTCAAATTCATTAGCCCCTTGGAATTCAGGTGCTTTTTCATTTTTAGAATTCTTGAGTTTCTGCAGTTTGCTGTCTTAAAGTGACCATCCCACCTTAACATTAGTTTTGAGTTGAGATAGCCAAATTGGTGGCCATGGCCTGAAAATACCGGTTTGGGCACTCACAACATCGAAAAATGCTTTAATTCGGAGATATGGAATTTCAAACTTGCAGTTTTCGGATTCTAAGGGGCTAATGCATTGGTATGCCCCTTAGAATTTGTGACGTCAGCGGAGATCTAACGATTTTTAAATGTGTTACTAAAACGTTTGGTAGCACGCGGTGGTATATGCTGCTTTGCGCGCAACAAATGCCGCACTTTCAAATAAAGTCGCTAGGAACAGCGGAGATCCCAAAAAGTAAACAAAAGTAAAAGTCTAATATCTTGAAAACCGGTGAATATTTTTCGATGAAATTTGGTAGATATTCGTTTTTGCTCTTTCTGAACCGAGCGACACCACTTTCATGCCAATTCATTAACTTTTTTGAAGGTGGGAGGGTCCCTTTAACCCGCGCACCGACGGGGGGGGGGCGGATATCCGCCCCCCCTGAGGTTTTTCGCGAATAGCGGGAAAACCGCGGCGCTACGGTACGACTATTCCCTCATCAATTTTACACATGGTGCGCAAGTTTGAACCTCCTACCTTTTAAGGTCAGGTCACCAGGTCACTTTGAATGACCCAACCTCAAGTCACTTTTTTGCAACTTTGTCACCGTGCCAGAGCTACAGTAGATGTCGGAGGCCTTTGAAAGTCGCAGGATGTTATAAAGGTCATTAGTAGCTACAATTTGTATATCTCGGAATTTTGATATCGGTGACCTAATTTCTGGTCAATTTCGCGACCTCCCCATTATAAGTCAATGGGGGAAAAATCAACTCCCTATTTTTACCACTAAAACGGGTCGGAATGGCCCCATATACCATACATGACTTCATATACGATCAACCTTCACTACCTTGAGGTCTGTTTTGCTGTTGGGCAGCTGTGAGGTCATGTGACGTCATCAAAGGTCACCAAAGGTTTTTGGCCAATAACTCCGTACAGGAACAAGATACAGCCGCGTGGATGGTCTCATTGTGTTCAGCTCGTCAAGACGCATCGAATGATATGCATGATGACCTCGAGGTCACGTGACCTGAGGTCAACCTTTTACCTTGACCTTTCGAGGTCAACATATATATCATTCGATGCGGATTGACGGGAGGATCACGATGATGCCCTTAGTTTGCTCCTATCTCGACTAATTCGAAAGTTATTCGAGAAAAACTCTCTCCATATCTAGCGCCGCCATTTTGAATTTTTCGACCCCTGTGACGTCATCTTTGACCTGACCTGAAAATGACCTTTGTAAAAATTGTAGATCTTGACCGTGCGTATCCGATGCCGTTTACCGCTTGTCGCTATCTTGCTTCGTTCTCGAGATCTCAGGGGGGGGGGGCGGTCATCCGCCCCCCCCCCGTCGGTGCGAAGTTGGCGCAGGTCGGTGCGCGGGTTAAGTGTAGCGACCCTTGCTTGCAAGCTGGAGCTTTCGCTCCTGATGAAAGCCTGAAAGAAAGCATCGCTATATTATAGCATATGCAGAACAATATGGCCTGGAGCAGAACACATTGTGCTTGCTTCCATACATCACGCACTTATTTAGCAAATTTCTCTGATTCAATCTGCATTACTATCAGTTGAAAGACATACATTTCATTAAAAAATGACAAAAACGACCGAACACTGTTATCACCTACCATTTTCACGGAAGTGCGCAGGAGGCCACATCACTGCACGGCGGTTGGTGCGCAACTGAAACTTTCAAAATGAAACGACCGGAAACGTTTTTGGCGCCACCTATATAACAAGTAACAGCTTTGTATATGTTACTACTAACACGTCTAACTAGCGTAACTAAGTCCGTGTTGCAAAGGTGTAGCTGATACCTTTGACAAGGACATAGATTACATAAGTATGTATCAGTATTGTTGCAATGGTGTAGCTGGTTCTTTCGACAAGGATATAAATTACAAATCATAAGCAAATATATGTTCCATATTACGAATAAGACCCTGGTAGTTTTCACAATAGCCTCCATAATCCTTGTCAATTTTATGAATGGTCGACTAGGTGCTGGGGCTGATACTAATATTTGCCCTGTTGATTCAACCAACTATGACAAGATATTCGTCGTTCGACATAACCTTTATTAGTATTTTTGACAAACGCTCGTCGTTGTACGACAACCCCTTGTCAAAATGAGTTTACAGTGTAGCCTGACAGTCAATGTTTACAGATTTCAGTGCCTACTAGTACTGTCCACGATAGGGGCAGAATCTGTCCCCCTTCCCAGCATTGTGCGTTCAGCTGAATATCCCAGCGGGGCGCGGTTGAACTGTTCACCAACGGCCAGCTGTGGCTAATACTCGTAACTTCTCCATCGTACTGTCAGCTTTAGAAGATTTGCTTTCTTCTAGAGAAATATATAAACTGTAAATGCTCATATGGAAAATATTCAATAAATCACAAAGCCACATTTATGTCTCAGCTTTAGTTACCGTCCCTAAATCATACTCATAAATACAGCGAGGGCACTGGAATGGCATAAAAGCTTGAAATACGAACGCGTAATCGGGGAATGCCGTTTGTCATGGGGAACGATCAAAGGGTCATATCGCTTGGTAATGTTTCGTAATTACATAGATAACCCTACTCATTACTGCTTGTTTATTGATCGCTCCTTGACTTCCAAAGCACGGCATGCATCATTAGTTGATGTGGATCTTTTATGGTCCATATGTAACAATGCGCTACAGACGTGCTTATACACCAGTTGTTTGTAAGACATAACAAGGGTCATTGCTTTAAACGTAGTAACTAGTAGGTCTGCTTTTAAGCGTGAACAAACGATTCGTAATTTGTGTTTGTTATTTCCCAATAATCACAAATCGTACATGCATATTGCAGGGAACAGTAAGGACCAGCCAAAGCTCAGCTGCTGGCAAAGGTTCAAGAAGGCAATATTTTCGAAAGCAACAAGAAAGGTAACGTATGGTGGAGGCACTTCGCGGTTGAGGCAGCTGTGCAATATCATGAACGCCAGCTTCATGCTGCTTTTCGCTCTAATGTTTTTCTTAATTGGTCCGCGGTAGTCCCAAGCTATAGCGACACATTTAACATAAATTCATAGCGTCTGTCCAGTAGGTCTACTCAATACTGTATAACGCTTATTTCATTGTCTGGTGCAATGCGGCTGAAATCCGTCACATTGCGTCGTCATTTCAGCTGCTATGCGGCATTGTCGTGGCGGCCTTGGTCACGATATCGTGGGTGGGCACCAACCACTTCATCAAGATGACCTACTACGGCGGCCAGGTGCCGCAGCTGCCCAACACCACCAACAGCATCCTCGAGGTCCTGCATCAGGTCAGTTAGCGGCAGGTGGACGCAGTGCTCATGTGTTGCTCTTCACACAATCAACAAGTTCAACAAGGGCGCCAGCATACACATTGCACAACCACGTTCCATTGCAAAACGTTCCAGCCATCGTGCATTATTCCCAAAGTCAGACCAAAAGCGTTTGCCGAAACGGCGTCAGCAGGAAGATGAGAGCCAAACCGACACCGTCGCTCATACGTTCGTGTGCATACGCACTTTTCAGCCATTTGATCTCCAGAGAACCTGCTTGGTGAGACAGGCCTCCAGACAACCTGATACCAATCTCCAGACGGGCACTGGGGTGCGCTTTTGCGTAGACGTGCGCCATTGATCATGCATGTATTCACGGACACGTAATGTCTCGATCTCACCACTGGCAGACGAAGGCATTGTATGCAGATGGTGACCGAGGAAGATTGAGCGTGGTCAGAAGAAATGCACTGCAGGCAGGGGAGCCGTTTTTTTTGCGATTAAGAGAGGAATCAAGTGCTCAGCTCGAGACTGTAAAATGGTCGTGTACGAGCATATACATGATGGTCCATATGCACTATGCAGCACGCACCTATGCGTTATAAACGTATTAACGCTGTTTACCTTTAACTTTTTTTTGCGCCAGAGCAAATGATATACATTTGTGTGACGTTTGTAACGATGTTGTCTTGCTCATAAACTTAAAAGAAATATCAAAGGACATTTGAAATGCCTCATGAATGAAACTGCACTAAAAAGGCAACAACATATGGTAAAGGAATTGTTCTTTCAATTTCTGATCTTTTTGTTGCAATCAGTTTCAAATGTAGCACCTACTTATCCACCCACTTATTACATTGCAGCCACCGCTCGATACCTGCACCCACCCACGACAGCGAATAGGTCGTACCACCCCACCCCACTGACAACTCTGCCGCTCTGCCCGGTTCCAGGGAGCGCCGTACGACGCGCCGTTCTTCACCACGTGGTTCTGCACCACTTGGACCACCCTGGTCTTCCCCATCTTCTCGCTGCTTCAGTGCATCAACTGCACGGCCAAGGAGGAGCCGGCAGCCAGCGAGGTGGTCGACGCCATCAGATACTTCCGCGACCGCGGGTACACGCTCGGTGAGAAATGGGGATGACTGCTGCCAAGCATCGGCAATCTATCCGTGTGTGAGAGATGCAAGAAAATTGTAAACCTGTAGCCCTGGCCAGCTGAAGAGGCAATAACTATTTCAAGGAAATCCCTTCAAAGAAACTAGAAAATGCCTTATCTCCGCTCTTCCACACTATTTTCCTTGGCTGACAGAGGGTGAAAAAGCTCATGGACTCTCACGACTGGCGAATCGATACGAATCTAAAGACTTTACAAAAGCTTGAATTGACATCGATATTCATTTTGCACTGTCCATTTTCAAGGTTGATTTCATTTCAGATGCGCTGTTCTCTCCGTTGCAGGTCAGTTCATGCTGCGCACGTTCCTGTTCTGTCTGCTGTGGGTCGTCACCAACTACCTGCACGCGCAGGCCCTGCGAGAGCTGACCTGCACGGACGCCATAGCACTCTTCTCGACCAGTCTGGGCTTCGTGTACCTGCTCTCGTGGGTGGTGCTACACGAACAGTTTGTCGGCGTCAGGGTTAGTGTAACAGACCTTGTTAGGTTTGGTCTCGGGACACATTGACCCGGATTCTGCGCAGCGCATGGAAACATGCTGACGGTGGCATGTGATTGTTTATTTTCCCGAACTGCCACGCTAACTGCCGCCGGCGGGGAACAAACACTGCCATTCTAAGCAGGGTAAACGAACATCGCAGACAAGGGACCTTGGCTCGAGCAAGTGTGAACCTCTGGCGACCCATACAGACGTTGACACGTTACTTATTCATGCCATGGGAAAGATCAATGGTCATATGAGCTGACGAGTTATAAATGGTGTCCATATGACATTTGCAGACGGAAAAGTCCGAGCTACTGGCAGGCCAATAAATCAGTTGAAGTGGGTTTCATTGAAACCAGACTGTTGCTTTGACATGAGGTTTTCAATTTGATACCATTATAATTTGCTTATGTGAGATATACATAAAGCAGCAGCTCTGATCCTCGGAATATGAGCCGTGGTGCATCTCCTGTCTTTTGTCAGATCGTGGCTGTGATCATGTGTAACACCGGGGTGGCACTGCTCGCCTATATGGACGGTATCGCCAAGACGCCCACCCTGGGTAGCGTCGTCATGGGAGCCACGGGCGCCGCCGGTTCAGCGGCGTACAAGGTGAGTCGCGACGTCCTTCAGGCGACAACACATCACTCATGAATTTAGCTCCGAAAATGGCCGCCTCACATCTGATTGCCTGGATCCCGCTCGCGTTTTTTTCCGCTTGTGAGCTGTCTGCCTCCCCGCAGCACACCTTTAGCCGGCCGGGCTGGTAGCTGCGCTGCAGAGGTAATTCAGGTCCGGGCAATATCCCAGTCAGGGCTCACCGTGCCCAGGGATCTCCATTCTCCCGAGACGCCTTTCCCGGTCGGCCAGCCGGCAGAGCTCACCCAGCCGCTAATGCAGCGACGACGGTCCCTAAATCGACCAGATCCTATAATCTCCCGTGAGCGGCCAGAGCCGCAAAGTCTCCTGCTCTGAAATAGAGCTCCTAAATCCTCATTGACTTGAGCGGTATCTAAAACGTAGCCCCAGGCATCGCGCGGGGCTCAAGTGTGTTGAGGCCGGACTTGTGCCAAGATCCCAAAAGATCCGAGATCCAGGATCTGCAAGATCCAAGATCCGGGATCTTGAGGGATCTTGGATCCAGCACTTCAGATTTTGCCGAGGGATCCTGGGGATCCAGGACTCTGGTCATCATTTTGTCGAGGAATCCTGGGGATCTTGGATCCTGGCTTTTGATTTTGTCGAGGGACCTTGGAGATCTTGGATCCGGGTTTTGGATTTGTCGAGGGATCCTGGGGATCTTGGATCCTAGTTTTTAACAGGAATATTTTACACATCAGTCTACCATGATTAAATGCCTACCAAACCTATCTATTGCTGGCAAATTCAAATCTCGTGAGGATGAATATCTAGCCAGGAAAACCAATGTGCAAAACATTAGCATGTACAACTGTTAAACTCACTTTATACTGGAAGGAAGACATACTCTACTAACTAAGGTGCTCAAGGTTTCAAAGTATATGTCAGCATAAACACAACTTAGACTTTGTGGGCCGTAGGTACTATTAACTGGATTAGGTATTTGCCAGTTAGCGTCGTATGCTTGCGCTAGCAGAGCTTGTGATGTATCAATGATAGATACAAAATTTGGTCGGTATCACTTTGGCATTGTTTCGAAAATTTCTTAACCCTCGCCAGGCGAGGGCCTTTTCCATAACACGGACGGCGATGGGGGGGGGGTGGTACTACGACCCCCCCCCCTCGCGATTAGCTTCTATGGCACTTAGAAACGCCAAATTTACAGGGTAGGTGGGTCCATAGGAGATCTCGCGCCTGTTAAGGTTTAGTGACTTTAAGTCAATATCTAGGGGGGTTTTGGGGGATATGAGTGCAAAAATTTTGCTTACACATTTCAAAGGTTTTTCGGTTATAACTTTTTTCCTAATAAGGATAGAGCAAAAATAAAAGCACCAGTGAACTCAGGACGTCCGTGCGCATCGAATGATATACTTTGTTACCAATTTAAGTGAACTCTGGAATTCAGTTGCCGCTAAGCTAGTCCAATTTTACCTGACCTTGTACCGGCTTTTGTGACCTGGTGACCTGACCTGAAAAGACTGGAACTTCAAATTTTCAGGATAGGTGCGAAAAGGTTGCCCCAGAAGGTATGCCAAATTTGGCGGCGCTACACGCCGCCGTTTTAACGTTATTTGCGAAAAACCTTAGGGGGGGTTGCATCAAACCCCCTCGCCGGGCGAGGGTTAAATTTACATCACAAACATGTCACATGTGCATCAAAAATTTCTGAAATTTACATCACTAGCATGTACAGGTCACCGCTGAAGTAATGTGGGGTATCCGTAGTGGTAAGAGTTTGCATCTGTATCTTGGGAACCATTTGTCAGATTATCATGAAACTTGGAATGTAGCCTACATGTGCAATCATCATTGCAGCTGTAAGCTCGTAGTATGTCATCTACCTTCAGATCACTCTGTATTTAAAAATCGTCGGTCAGAGCCATCTGTTGATGAGATTGGTAACTAAATTCCTGATTACGCCACTGATGCCCCAACCACGTGACTCTGCAGCAAACCAATCACCGTGTTCGGAGGCAGCATGAATGGCGCCAGATACCCCTGCGTCGAGGCTAGCGCCTCTCGGTTGTGGCGTGACCGGGAGTCGGGTCGCGGAGCGAGGTCAGTGGGGTCAGCCTCGCCAACCGCCTCCGGGCTAGCGGAGCGCTGGGCAGTGCGGGTCTGTTAGGTTGGCATACCCTCTGCGGCACCGAGCGTGCCGATAGTTCTTTCTAGGAAAATGCGGGATGTGTTCGTGGCTGAACTAGTCACAGGCTGCATAGTCACCGCAGCCAATGGACTTGTCTGTGTCCTTTTCACAGCCTGCAAAGTGGTTCTGACGAGGTCACATTTATAACAACTCACTTGCTAGTGCAATGACGTCAAATGATAAAGTGAGATATGATGATATGTTGATGATAAAGTGATATGATATGATGATAAAGTGAGTCGGCTACTTTTTGCTAATTAGAAATAAGATATTACTATACACAAACATATAATCGGCTAATAAATTATGACCGAACAAGAGTCAACGTGTATTTAGGGCCTTGAGTCAACGAATATCAATTATATTCATAGAACCTCAAAAGCTATCCCTCGCCCGCACATGGGGGGGTGGTTGCCACCCCCCCAGGTAGTCTTTCTGCTCTGCACTCAACATTTTTAGAGCTAGAAGGCTGATTTTTCGTATAGCTGCTCCTCTATCCTTTCTTGATGTCCACTGAAAATTTCAAGTTTCTGTGGTTTTTGGTTTCGGAGATATGACCTTGTTTTTCAGGTCATGTCATGACCCAAATGGCCAATTCTCAACATCTTGCGTTGGCTATGGGCCTTGTGAGCTTTTAACACCTTGATTTCGGCCTTTTATGCCAATCCTACCTCCCACCTATCATGAAACATGTTGTTCGACGATGTACAGAGGTCAAGGTCAGGGTCAAGGTCAACCTAGGTCATCTAAGATTATTGCGTTTTAGGCAAGCTGAATTTACTTTTTTGAAATTTTTTGACTACATTTTTGGTAATATATATTCCCGACCGGGGCTGGGAAAATGCGTTTTATTCACCGAGGTTTTTGTGCGGAGGACCGAGTGCCGGTAGGCACGAGGTCCGTAGCAAAAAACCGAGGTGAATAAAACTGCATTTTCACAGCCCAAGGTTGGGAAGAGATTTACCACATGCCGTACCGGCGCAACAGTTAATATCATATTCATTTGATATTTTACACTTTAATCTTAATATTGTGTTAAAATTATATTAGTACTATGTTCATATTTATAGTCACCGTGATTATTTTTTGTGTTTTTCATTATTGGGCTGCGTTGAGTATGAAAGATGAGATTCCTACTTCCCCCTTATTTAGGGTTTGAAAAAGCTGAGGATGAAGATGGTGAAGCGCCAGAAGTTAGAATAAAGATATGGAGTCCAGCAGGAGTGAGGAAACCGTGAGGAAAACTGAAAATTGGGTGAAACGCTGAATCAAACGCGTCTTGGATCCCAGCTGGAACAATATCAAATGTTTCATTGTGGCACGTTAGGATGCTTCACGCATTTAAATTGATCGTTTTTTGCGTGCATTATGTAGAAATAATTATTATTCCGATTTCCGACCATGTTCTGCAGCAATAAATACATTGGCATTGGAACGATAACCTTGTTTAGTTGAATTACCTACGTTGACAGCAAAAGTAAGTAAACACGCAGTCACTTACTTTTGCTGTTGCTGTTAGTGAACACACAATCCGTAAATATCTTCTTTGAAATTGGTTCTTCCGCTCAGAATATTCAGTAAAATTTTGTCTGGGAAAATCAAAAAGCCCTAGGGCCGAATCGTTTCCCAAATACCTTCAACATTAGCCGAGGCGGGCCGAAGCCATTTCCCAAATGCACGTGCTAATGTTAAAGGGATATCTCGGCATGTGGTAAAAGCTTCTCAGATCATGATTTCATGTAATATGGACACATAAACAATCGGTGCACACATCAGTATACACACACACACACAGACATACAAACACATATTATTGACCTTGACCTAACTTGACCTGAGATGACCTCAGCAGCAAAAACCTGGTCGGGTAGTGTGACAAAGAGGCTCTAGCTGGCTTGGCACCAGAAAACGGCATCGTCATCGGTATATGACAAGCAGCGCGCTTGATATCCAACGGTGACCTAAAACAGCAACATTTTTTAGTTTGACCTGACCTGGAAGGTCAATGACTGACCTGAGAAGGTAAAACTGGGTATCATTGGATTTGTCTCTTCCCAAAGAATCTTTTTGGTCTTTACCGCTAAGCTCTATCTCCAACAGGAACGAAACGGCGCGGGGGGGGGGGGGGTGGCAACCCCCCCCCCCCATGTGCGCTCTAGGATGGGAAAATGGCATGTGCGGGCGAGGGCTATATCCATCTCGCCTGAGCCGGCCAGAACTACGAGTCTGTGGAAAACGGACAACCCCGGCGCGGACCGAACCCGCAACCCCGCGATCCATAGCCTGACGCTCAACCGCTCCGCCACGAAGCTTCTGGTGCCACGCCCCTCAGAACAGTAGCCGCGATGTGGTGAGTGATTAAAGCAGCATGGCATGACGCCTACCGCGCTCCGGGTCAGTCGGCCGGGCCTCGGGCGAGGCCAATCACGTGACCAGTCGGCGGTGAGGGACTGGACTCCGTCCTGTAAATAAAGGGGAGGGGTCGAGGAGGGACGGGGAGGTGGTCGCCGCCCTTTGAGATGACAATAATGCCGGGTTCACACCGGATTCCGGACCGGCAAAATTCCGTCTGCCGGGCCGGAAAAATGGCCAATTCCGTGCCGGAAAATTGAAAACTGGTGTGAACCGGCAAATCTGGCAACTTCTTTTGACCGGTCCGGCAGGCCGGAGAGCCAGATTTTCCGGTCCGGCAAAAAGTTGAAATCATCTCAACTTTTGCCTTGCCGGATAGCCACCGTTTGTGATATGAAATTAAGGCACGAGGGAAATAATGTTATGTTTCAGCGCTACAGGACCAATTTAACCAACGGTGCCCTAATAGTCTTGCGATTTTTCACGAGAATATAAAATTCAAGCGTAAATTTGACGGCGTTTCATTTTTATTTCAAAACATTTGCATCTCAAACGGAGTGATAGCTACATTTCTGTTTTTGTATTTCACATGACTCATGGCCTTTTCAAATTATAAATTAATTTCATTGGTTGGAAAATATCCATGACTTTATAGTAAAAAGATAAATATTATAAGGAAGCGGTGAAAAGGGCGAATTTGTGGAACAACATTGCGGACGCGCTGGTTGTAGAAGGAGCGGAGCCAGTATCTGCAGAAGAGATTATCAAGCGCTGGAGCCGGCCGCAGGACAGGTAGCACAATGTACGTATTGCTAACTTCCGTCGTCTACGAAGTGGAGCCAGCCGAGCAGATTCTGAAATCTACATTCTACAAGACGCGCTGACAACACTTCTCTGCCCTCGATGCCCTCCTACACAAGCACATAGCAGCTCGGGAGGGTGGAGGCAGTTTTGCCATTCAATCGCAAGTAGAAGATTCAGGAAATACGATGGTACTGAATGCCAAGGATATTATCCCGCGCCCTGCTGGGGGTGGGGGTGGGGGGGGGGGGGGATATTTGAACCCTCCCTGTGGTTTTTCGCGATCATCTAAAAAACGGCGGCTGTTTTTGGCACACCTTATCATGCATCTTTTCTGCACATGTAAAAATTGTAGAGCAAGGTCACTTAAGGTCAGGTCACCAGGTCACTTCAAGTGACCTCACCTCATACAAAGTTTCAACGTCTTCCATATGCTACATCGAGCGACCGACCTCTTTGAAACTCTCAGCAGTCAGCGATTGATAAGGGCAACAATATGTACACAATTTAAATAAATAACTATCTCGGAATTTTGATATCGGTGACCTAAGGTCAGGTCAATTTTGTGACCCCCCCCCCCCATTATATGTCAATGGGAGAAAATTGATGCCAAGTTATGCGTTGGCTTGTTGTAAATCGTCGACATTCGACCTGAAAATCGGTGAAATTCGGCTTTCCATTACCTCTGGTGACCTGACCTTTGATTTGACCAAAAAAAGTGACCGAATTAATTTCGTCATTAATTTTGACACTCTTTCGAACGCCGCCTTCCCCGTATCGCTACGTGGCCCAGGAGCCGAGTTAAAAGGGGGGGGTGTTAAACACCCCCACCAGCAAGGCGTGGAAATTTAGGATCCCCAGCGGGGCGCGGGTTATGGCAGTAGAGTTCAGTGACAGTCAGATGACCGATTTTGAGACCCAGCCATCTACATCAGCAAGCGTAATATCAAGCTCGCCGTCTCTGATGCGCCCTGCCCAGCCCTCAATTCCTCTTTGTTCGCAAGTGTTTTTAAACCAACAACAGCCAGCGCGATTGAAATTTATTAGTATCTTGTTGTCGATACCAAGCCCGCATGCTGTAAATGTTAAATTGTATTAATCTTGCTAATATACCTACCAGTGAAGTATGGATGATTTTCGGTTGGGTGGAACTGCATCAGGGACTTGTAAAGCCGTCACACAAGTATGTTCGATTTCAAAATAATTCGCGAGATTGCTTGGTACCTACTTATCGTACTTGATGGTTGATGATTATGACATTTCCGGCTCGACTTTCCGGTTTTCCGGTTCTAGCGACTTTTTTGACATCTAGCGACAATTTCAACATTTTGGTGCCGGCCCGGCAGAAGGAATTTTTCCGGACCGGAAAACCGGTGTGAACCCGGCTTAAACGTTTGGTCAACGGAAGCCGTCCTACTTGCAAAACAGTTGATTTTTTTTATCGCAAATTGGAAAAATTCAAACTCATCGGCACATGGGTGGCGCAATTCACCGAGGTATTTCAATTATTTATCCCAATAGCTTCAGACCGTGTACGGAATGATCACCAATTGCAATCGCTAAAGAAATACAAGTGTGACTGCAATTACATTGCACCCTTCCATAAATATAAATTTTAAAAAGTATTGGCTCGCCTAATAGTCATATGCTTCAACGTTATTTCTTCTCTTCGTTTGTTATGAAAACGAGTGAACGTTGAAAGAAATGTTATGCTATTCATCCACTGACCATTTTATTTTAAAAACTTAATTGTATGACGAATTTCTCACCCCCCCCCCCCCCATTAACTGGCAACGCCGTCCAGAAGGCCTCTCCCAAGGATAGGGTTATGGCGGTATCGTGCTTCGCTGTGATCTCACACGCAGCACGCACACTGAGCTGACTGTGATTGGCGCTCACTGAAACAGACCAATGAGCCAATGAGCGCCCTGTTGAATATCCGCCGGGGGCGGTGGACGGGGTCAAGGGTGATCGATACGAGCATGACCTCTGGCCGGCCTCCACCTGCCTCGACCCAGTTGTCGGGCGCCCGTGCCTCTGTCATACAGCATTTCTACTCCTACCGCTAGCGCAGGATTTTGCTACAGCGTAAATCTTGTGATACAGGTCATGTCGATGAGGCCCTCAACTCAAACTGAACAAAAAAGTTCGGCGGACCACCGAAGGCAATGCGCAAATATTTTACAGAATTATACTATACAGGTGGTTAAAATTTAATGTATTCTGATAGGCTAATGTTATGCAAAACATCAATTCATTCAAATATTTTATCTGAGATTAGTAAGTTACGACTGCTCATTACGAACATCTTCTCTCAAATGCTGTTTTTTTTCTATCTTCAAAACTGTAGCCTTGATAGTGATTTCAGTCAAAGCTCCTACGTGAATCCGTGACACGCTGGCTGCTTCACAAAATGGCATCAGGCATCGCTCTCGCACACCGTTCCGTGCTTCTATCCTCAGGATACTGAAATCCTTCTCCTCCACGCCGCACCCCCCTCCGGGCTGGACAGGCAACTTTATCTCATGCGGGCTGCTCCCTTGGAGCGGCACCGCTGCTCCCGAGGGAGCGCACCCCGTAGCCGGGTGCAGTGAGTGCCTTGGGGCTGGGTGGCCTGTCTTTGGACGGGCTCAGCCCCGGCGACTCACTAGGGTGCCTGCCCAGACCAATGTCTCCCCCTATATCCTATCATCCTCCCGGCTCTGAAATGGTCTCATTGGACCGAAAGGGCCTAACCCAACAAAACAAACAAAAAAAAAACGCTCTCGCACGCCTCGGGTCAAAGCCCACTGTTGCCCTGCGGCCGGTGTCCCTGTCAGCCTACCGCCAACCAAGCCTCTCCCACTGCGCTGGCCAGTAGCCCCGCGGTCCACCCCTCCCCACCTCAGACCCTCCCCCTCCTCGCCTGTCAGAGAGAGCTTCTATCGGCCGATGCTGGTGTCCGGATCATCAATGGCTACTCTCTACTGGAGGGTCCAGCAATGGCTCCTTACTATTGCGTAGTACGCACGCGCGTAGGTTTACAACTCTGTGTTCAGTGGCGGTCACAGAAACATTACTCCGGGGTGCTCCAAGGGGCTCGATATTTCAGTTTTTCGATGATAGCGAGCATGCTGTGGCAGGTAGAATGGTGACACATTAGAGAAAGTTGTCTATCTGAAATACGAAGCTGTGCGATCCTCGCTTTTGACGATATATCTTACCGTCAAGGAATGGCGCTATGTTTTGTTCGATTACAGTAGAACCCCACATTACTTCAGCGGTGACCTGTACGTACATACAATGTACATGTCCATTTAGTGCTTCTCCAGGGCTAGAACTGAGTCAGTTGCAGTCGTTTGCAGTTGCAAATAACAGATAAATCATCCTAAAATTATGATTGTGCATTGGATCTTGGGGATCTTGGATCCTACAATTTTGATATTGCTTGGGATCTTCGAGATCTTGGATCCTGGAAGTTTGATCTTGCGCGGTATCTTGTGGATCTTGGACCCCGAAATTTTGATTTCGTGTGGGATCCTGGGGATCTTGGATCTTGCAATTTGATTTTGTGTGAGATCTTGGGGATCTTGGATCCTGAAATTATGAAATTGTGTGGGATCTTGCGGATCTTGTATCTTGATTTTTGGTCGAGGCACAAGTCTGGTTGAGGCTGTGACTTGTGCTCGTCTGCAGGCTGATCCAGCCGCTTCCCCGAAGTGCCCCAAATCGATGAAAATTATCCGTTTGTGTAGAATAGAAAGAAAACCAAGCAACTTTCATAAGATAAAGTTTTGTTTGACCCAACGAATTGAGACCCAAGGACTTCTTGAAATTACTCGCTTTTTTGGGGAGGGGAGGCCTTTCCGCAGCGTCCAAGTCCCCCTTTTTTGATGCGCCAATGCCCTCTTCAGCCGACACTCTGTCCTCTTCCCGGGTGGCAGAGTGCAGAGGGAACCTCGTCGGTAGGCCAGTCCAATGAGCTAACTAGAAGCGCTCCCGCCCGTAATGTCCTTAATGAGATACATAGAGATTTTGTAATGAAACCAATTTGTATGCTGATGCTCCCGGTGGTGAATGTAGCTGCACAAATTCTGTGACGTTTTAGTGTTTAAATTATGTGTGATTATGCTGGATTTATTCCGGAAAGTCACTGCAGCGTATCAACTATTCGTCATTCCCTATACATATTGCATACAATGTTTATGTTTGCGAAAAACTGGCGCTTAAAATGATTGAAAATAGGCGGGAAAAAAACAATATATTTCAACTATTTCTGCGCAGCGCTCTTCATGCTTTCCAGCCCCGATTTCCGTCTCTTCGGCTCCATCTTCTCTTTTTGTCTCTTCTGTTTCATCACCTCTCCGTGCCTTGTCTCTCCTGCTTCATTTCTACGTCTTTCTACTTTCATTTTATCCTGTCTCCCCAGCCATCCACCTCCACCGACCACTGCTCATCTCGTGACTGGCCTCATTCTGCCGCTCCCGGGCAGGTGTTCTTCCGTAAGGTGATGGCCGACTGCGGGCCCGGTCCGGTGAGCGTCTTCCTGAGCCTGATTGCCCTCATCAGCACCCTGCTGCTGTGGCCGGTGGCGCTGGCGCTCTCACTCTCCGGGACAGAGGTAGTCACCTGGACCCAGCTGCCCTGGCTGGAGCTGTGTGGCGCCGCCGGACTCGGGCTAGGTGAGAGGGGTGAGAGAGAGAGAGAGAGAGAGAGAGAGAGAGAGAGAGAGAGAGAGAGAGGGAGAGAGGGAGAGAGGGAGAGAGGGAGAGAGGGAGAGAGAGAGAGAGGGAGGTGGTGAGAGGAAGAGTTGATGAGAAAGGGTTAGGTGAGATGGAGGGTTAGTAAGATAAAGGGACAGTAAGATGGATTCGCTTAGAAAGACGGAAAGCGGTGAGATGGTGTGGCTAACTAGATGAGATAGAGGGAAGCGGTGAGCTGTGTATTGGTACTTGGTGAGCTAATATGGCGGTAGGCGGTTTTGGCTTAACCCGCGCCCTGATGGGGTCTGCCGAGCAACGCGGTCTGATGGGGGGGGGGCATTTTGGCCCCCCCAAGATCTCGAGAACCACGCAACATAGCGACAAGCGGTAAACGGCGTTGGATAGCCCCAACGGGGAACTACCTTGTGACCCAATTTCATTGACCTCGGTCAAACCGATGACGTCACAGGTCAGGTCAAAGGTCGAATTTTCACCGTTTACATGCATTTCAAGAAATGCGTTGTAAAATCGAGTAAAATGCATTTCAATGAAAATTATCGATGGGGAATTATTCTTCAAGCACATATTTTGCTATCTGAGGTCACTGATACCAGGTCAGGTCACAGAGGTCAGGTCACGGGGGGTCACAATATGAAAGTGTCGTGTGATACATGTTTTATGGTCCATTTTACATGACAAATGCGATTTTGTGGGTCAGGCAGACTTTTGGGCCTGCCTAGGTCACGTTTTGGTCAAGGTCAGGTCAAGGTCAGGTCAAATTAGGTCAAATTTCAAAGTTGATATTTTTGCATAAAATGGGTATCGATTCGATGCAGCTCGTCACGGGGAGTTCAATGGTGGTCTCCGTTTTGCGCTACGAGGGTTAGACTTGCTAAAAAATTGAGTTCAAAAATTTGACGTCATCAATTTTTAACAGTTTTTTTTTCGCTATAACTTGGAAAAAAAGAGGTATCGATCTAAGATTTGGTATGTATATCGAAGAGCGCAGGGACTATCATATATATTCCGTTTTTTCGAAATTCGAAAACAAAATTGGAAATGTTCTGAGCTTTTCTAAAAAAATCATTTTTTTGATTTTTGGGGGTCAAAATCCCAAAAAATTCGAAAATCCGAGATAGCAGTTTTGTAGCGCCGTCTTTTCTCCACACAACCACACCAAGAACTTTAAAATTGCTTGTTAACTGTAGAATTGGTGAGCGTTTCAAGATGTCATGTTTTTTGCTCATTTTTACTCGAACATGACCTCAGTTTGACCTCAATAACTCCTGACCTGAGGTGACCTGTGACTTTAAATTTTGTGTGAAGGTGTCAAATTGATGCTCGGTAAGGTAACCAAAATTTGGCGGCGCTGCGCGCCGCCGTTTTTTCGCTATTTAAGAAAAATCACAGGGGGGGCCAAAATGACCCCCCCCCCCCATCAGGGCGCGGGTTAAGCTGGTGTGCATTTAAAATCAATAGCGACACTGCCAGCCGGCGCATGGCAAATAGCAGAAAAGTAATTGAAATGATTTTTAAAATCAATTTAAAGCAATCCATGTTACGTTTTTTTAACCATCGCCTTTTCAGACCCATGCATGGCATTCATAAACTATCTTGACCTATCACCTATGGCTAACTTGATGAACGGTGCCTTGATGGCTATCCGTCCCAAATGGCCTCTAACGACCGACTCGATTACATCGGGACGCAAATGTCCACTGTACATAAATGTCCAAAAGGCGGGGACCGCTAGTCACGGAATAGGTAGGGATCGCCAAGAACAAATGTCGGTGATTCTCGAGAAAAGAATGGTGGAGATTCCTTAGTAAGTGCATACAGCGGAGATACGCAGAGATCAATAATGACCCTTTTCCCAACAGCAACCGCAGAATTTTAAGGGCCCGTCTTCCTAACCACCACTACAATTATCTCTAGTAGAAAAGCTGAGAGATCTTTTCAATACTAAAACATTCATGAGAGCTGAACGAAAAGGCTGCCTAACTTGTGTCGCGTGAGCGCTGATAATGACCCTGTCATGGGGCGTCAGCAGCTGGGGTCAGTTCAGCTTACCGTGAAGTGCACAGAGCGTGACAAGCTCACGTGCCTCAGTAACGACCTACTTCCGGCGGAAGTGAGCCTTCTCAGACAGAGGTACTAACCCGCCCGGCAAGAGGTGTCGGATTAGGCGTCAAGAGTTTTATTACTGGATTTTACGGAGTGGGTGTTGATGGAAACTGCCTGGCATCTTGCTTTTGCTCCGCTCCGTTGGGGAGTTTATATTGGTCCAGAGTCCCGACCTAGATAGCCCGCGCCCCACTGGGGGGGGGGCTATTTATAGCCCCCCTCCCGTTTTTCTGCAATAACTTCCAAACCGCTTGACGGATCGACGCCAAACTTTCAGTACCTTCGGCTGCATTAATTTGACACCTTGTGTCAAAATTTGAACTTCGTACCTACCATAGGTCGGCCGAAAATGACGTCAGAGTGACGTCATGTTCGGCCGATTTCGACGCAAAACATTGAACCACGGCAATCGCTCCCAAGAGCTCAGTTTTTAAGCTAGATCCAATTTCTTTGCATGAAAGAACTCAGTATTGACCGCGCTATCAAACTGCTATCTCGGATTTTTAAAATTTTGAAAATTTCGAAAATTTTATATAATAATAATCGAAGTTTATATTTTTATATTTTTTCCAAAAAGTTTTTGACTTTTCGAAAAAAAAAACGGAATATATGTGACAGAACGCATGATTATGACTAACACTAGCAAGTTTTAGCTAAATATCTTCAAAAATGGCTAAGTTATACGCATTATTGCAAAAAGATCACAATTATTAATTTTTCAAATCAATTTTTCAGTACGTATTTGACATCGTACACCAATATAAATGGCACCATCGTGTTCCTGAGCTCAAACTGCATCCAATAGACACCTTTTTTGTTGAAAAATTTTAACTTCAAAATTTGACCTTTTTTGACCTGAAAGTGACCTGACCTAAGCTAAATTCGACTCAAAATGACCTCGAATGACACAGACGACATCAAATTCGAAATCTATGGCCTAAATGGACCATAAAACATGTGTCATGTGACCGACGCATGGTATAATATTTTCGTGACCTGTGATGACCTGACCCTGACCTGAAAATCAAAGTACAAGTTTGGTACCCTCAAGGTATCTAGAGAATCTTTTCACGAGTGTGGAAACCAAAAATGAGCCTGATCTGACTTGTAAGACGGCGGCCAGAGCCCAAAATATGAACAAGCCAAAATGCCAATAATTTTTACTTTGACCTGACCTGTGACGTCATCGGTGACCTCGAGGTCAATGAAATTAGGTTTCGCTCGACAGTTTTTCCGGGGCTATCAGACGCCGTTTGAATTTTGACGATCGGCCCAGTAGTTTCGGAGTTAGGAGGGGGGGCTATGAATAGCCCCCCCCCCCAGTAGGGCGTGTTATACACAGACCCCAGTGGGGCGCGGGTTAAATTGCAAGCGACTTTATAGAAGATTTAACGGCGTAAGTAAATAAAAACTCAGGTCCTCTTTAGTAGGACGGACCATATTCAACCTATACGCAACCGGAAATCCAATACCTGATGTGGAAAGATATAACCCGCGCCCTGATGGGGGGGGGCCATTTTGGCCCCCCCTGTGGTTTTTCTTAAATAGCAAAAAAACGGCGGCGCGCAGCGCCGCCAAATTTTGGGTACCTTACCGGGCATCAATTTGACACCTTCACACAAAATTTCAAGTGACAGGTCACCTCAGGTCAGGAGTTATTGAGGTCAAACTGAGGTCATGTTCGAGTAAAAATGAGCAAAAAACATGACATCTTGAAACGCTCATTAATTCTACAGTTAACAAGCAATTTTAAAGTTCTTTATGTGGTTGTGTAGAGAAAAGACGGCGCTACAAAACTGCCATCTCGGATTTTCAAAATTTTGGGATTTTGACCCCAAAAAATCAAAAAAATTGATTTTTTTAGAAAAACTCAAAAAATTTCCAAAATTTTTTCGAATTTCGAAAAAAACCGGAATATATGTGATAGTCCCTGCGCTCTTCGATATACATACCACATTTTAGATCGATACCTCTATTTTTGGCCAAGTTATAGCGAAAAACTGTTGAAAATTGATGACGTCAAATTTTTGAACTCAATTTTTAGTGATTCTAGACCTCGTAGCGCAAAACGGAGACCACCATTGAACTCCCCGTGACGAGTTGCATCGAATCGATACCCATTTTATGCAAAAATATCAACTTTGAAATTTGACCTAATTTGACCTGACCTTGACCTGACCTTGACCAAAACGTGACCTAAGCTGGCCCTAAAGTCTGTCTGACCCACATAATCGCATTTTCATGTAAAATGGACCATAAAACATGTATCACACGACACTTTCATATTGTGACCCCCCAGTGACCTGACCTCTGTGACCTGACCTGGTATCAGTAAACTCAAATAGCTAAATATGTGTTTGAAGAATATTTCCCCATCGATGATTTTCAATGAAATGCATTTTACTCGATTTTACAACGCATTTCTTGAAATGCCTGTAAACGGTGAAAATTCGACCTTTGACCTGATCTGTGACGTCATCGGTTTGACCGAGGTCAATGAAATTGGGTCACAAGGTAGTTCCCCGTTGGGGCTATCCAACACCGTTTACCGCTTGTCGCTATGTTGCGTGGTTCTCGAGATCTGAGGGGGGGGGGCCAAAATGGCCCCCCCCCCCATCAGACCGCGTTGCTCGGCAGACCCCATCTTGGCGCGGGATAATCATGTACAATATCCCTGCCTCAACGTATATCACTATGTGTTTTCAGCGGGAAACCTTCTGATCAGCTTCGGCGGCCTGGTGACCTACGACTTCTTCGTCAGTCTCGGTCTGATCCTGGCCGTGCCCCTCAGCGCCGGTAAGACTGCTTAAACTCATTCTGATGTCATCACCGAACATCTGCCTGTTTACAAATGTCACTACATTTCAGTGGCTCGCTACTCGGGCGCCACCGAGGCAGTGTCCTCATAAGCGTTTGATCGTACCGTATCTGTTTATAGAATGCGTAGCGTGTGAGTTTGGACCAGCCTCCAGGCCAGTGATTGTGGCCGTATTGAAATAAACACAACTTTGACCGAAAGGTCCCCGGTTCTTGGCACTGATTGTGCAACTCTCGCCTCTGAGAAAAACCCACCGACAGCAGTCAATAGATATTTGAGCCCGTCGCGCGAGTGGTTCTGGCATGTCAAATGGTGGTACCGCCCATCAAACATGAGTACATGGTGGTGTCATCAGTCCCGAGAACTGAACACATGATCTCAGTCTCTCCGTCTCAGTCTTATCACCTAGCGTGCACTCATGTTTGACGGGTAGGTCATGCTGTATGATGTCGCAAGCTGTTTACAAAGGAGCCTTCGTCAGGGATATGCACTCACATATGACAGGGTTAAAAGAGGAATATGATGTTTGCACGGCGGATATCACAATTTATTGTCATAGACTGAACACATCAGCAAAGGCGAACGATGATTGACGCATGAAGACGCTGCTAGTCATTGAAAATGAGACATTGTAATTCACGGCCGTCAAGGTAATGAGCTCAATATGACGGCATGACTAGTAGACAACGCCTAAGGACAAAAAGACTTCCATTCCTGGAAAAGCAAAGAATGCAACAGGACCTCAGTGGCATCAAACTGAAAGGAATGCATAGGTATAACTGGCTGTTAACAATGTTCTGTATACCAATTCCAGCTTGCAAACTTCGCGCAATGTTCAATTGCTTCTCATCATACACAGTTGATAGTTGTTGATAATGCAAAAGTGCTTCGTGCGATCATAAGACGTCATGCAAAAGGATGCCCTGAACCACCACAAGGCAACTGAGTAATGCCAAAATGAATACAGTAAAGCCCTGATCCCACGTTGTTGGTGATACGGTCACGGTCAAGGGAGTCCCGACAGCGGCACCGCGGACGGATCGACGGTAGGCCGCGGCCTCTCCGTCACCGGCAGCAGCACCATCGCCTTGGCCAGCGCCTGCATGGCTGCGGGCGTCTCCTTGGCCCGCAGCAGCACGTAAGCCCTCTGCAGGTACTGGCGTGCCAGCTGCACCTGACCTGACCTCAGGCCGCCGCCCGGCAGCGGGTCCGGTCCCAGCAGCTCGACGCAGTCGTGCTCGTCCGAACCGTCGGCGCAGTCGTCGATTCCGTTGCAGCGCGCGGCGGCCGCCAGGCAGCGGCCGTCGCCGCAGACGACGTGGTCGTCGCCGCAGGTGCCGGCGGTGCCGCAGGCCGCCTCGTCGCTGCCGTCACGGCAGTCGGTGACGTTGTCGCACACCCAAGCGGGTCTGACACAGCGGCCGAAGTCGCAGCTGAAGTGGGTGCCGCACGTCTCCAGGGTGCCGCAGTCGGCCTCGTCTGAGCCGTCTGCGCAGTCTTTCTCGCCATCACACACCCACAGCCGCATGATACAGTCGATCGGTTCATCGGAGCCGCTGGAGCAGTGGAACTGGTCGACAGGACACGCGGGCGGTGCCCCGCAGCCGCGCTCATCCGAGTTGTCATCACAGTCGTCCTGGCCATCACATAGCCACCGAGCCGGCACACAGCGGCCACTGTCGCAGCGGAACTGCGAGGCCAGCGTGCAGTTACCACAGCCGACTTCGTCCGATCCATCGCCGCACTCGTCGTCTCCGTTACAGCGCTGCTCGGACGTCAGACAGCGTCCATCGGCACAGCGGAACTCGTGCTGTCGGCAGCCGGTGTCGGGGCAGTTGGCCTCATCGCGCGCGTCGGCACACTCCGGCCGACCATCGCATCGGCTGGTGATCAAGATGCACCGGTCGCCACACGAGAACTGGTCGTCGTTGCAGGTAACGTTGCACGCCAGTTCGTCGGAGCCATCGTCACAGTCTTTGGTACCGTCGCAGAGCTTCTGGCGGGACACGCAGCTGCCACTGGAGCAGCGAAACTCGGTGTCTGTGCACGAGGTGCAGTTGAGCTCGTCGCGACCGTCGTGACAGTCCAGAGCGCCGTCGCAGCGTGCCGAGAGCGCGATGCACTCGTTTCCGCCGCAGGAGAACTGCTGTTCCGAGCAGGCGGCCGTGCAGTTGCGCTCGTCGGAACCGTCCCCACAATCGTCGATGCCGTCACAGAGAGAACGTCGTGTTCGCAGGCATTCGCCGTTGTCGCACAGGAACTGGGTGACGGCCGTGCAGTTGCTGCAGCCGAGCTCGTCTGAACCGTCACCGCAGTCGTCATCGCCGTCACAGACCCAGCGAATGGCGGCCAGACACAGACCGCTGGCACAGCGGAATTGATTCTCCTCACAGCCACTCTCCTCGCAGCCGAGCTCATCTGAGCCGTCGCCGCAGTCATCCTCGCCGTCGCAGACCCAAGACTGACGAAGACACTTGCCGTTGGGACAGGTGAACTCCGTCAGCACGCACGTCGGCACAGATGTCGTCGTCGTCGTCGTGGAAACGTCGCACTCGGCCTCATCAGAATCATCCTCACAGTCCTCCTCACCATCGCAGCGCCACCAGCCTGCGATGCACCTGCCGTTGGCACATGCGAACGTACCTGACGCGCAAGATGAGTCCGAAGACGTGGAGGCATCGCAGCCAGTTTCGTCAGAATCATCGCCACAGTCTTCTTCGCCGTCACAGCGCTTTGAGCCGGCGATGCACTTTCCGTTGGCACAGGAGAACTGACCTGACTTGCATGACGGGGCGGACGTCGTCGTCGGGATGACACAGCCAACCTCGTCTGACCCGTCTCCACAGTCTTTTTCACCATCACAGCGCCAGCGACTCCCAATGCAGCGCTCTGATTCCACACACTGAAAATGGTCGGGTGGGCATGTCACGGCAGTTGAACAGTCCATTTCATCACTGCCGTCGAGACAGTCCTTCTCGCCGTCGCATCGCCAGGAGTCGGACAGACAGCGGCCACTGTCAGCACATCTAATCCGGCCCGGTCCACACGTGGAATGGTCGCAGTCGGCCTCGTCGGCACCGTCGCCACAGTCGTCGTCACCGTCGCAGACCCAGGACTGGCGAAGACACTTGCCGTTGGGGCAGGTGAACTTGCCGTCGACGCAGTCGGTCTCGCCACATTTGGTCTCGTCTGAGCCGTCCGGGCAGTCTGAAAAGCCGTTGCAGAGTGCCGTCTTGGGTAGGCATGGGCCACCGTGCGGACACTCGTGCTCAGAGTCGGAGCAACGCTTGGCACGTGTGCTGCTGGCCAGCGCCAGCGTCACCAGCAGCCCCAGAGCCAGCGCCGCGACGCGTCGCGCCATGGTGCCCCGCGCGGCCCGACTGAGCCGCCGGTCGACGGCCGCGCGCGCCCCGAACCCCGTTCATATACATACACCCCAAGGCCGGCGGCCAGCAGAAAACGGCGTCAGTCGACACCAGTGAGATGCAAATTATGTCTCCCGGGAGCGGTGGTCGGCACGACGGCCGTCTTGGGAGCCTGGTCCGAGCATTGATGTGCGCCGACCCATCCGCGAAGGCAGGCCTGCGGTGATCAATGCCCTGACTATTCCGGACTGCGGGTGGTCAGGCAGCGTTCCTGTCCATCTCAGCGGGCTGACGGAATGCCAAGAAGCGAGGAGTGTTTGCTCGGAGCTTGGAACCATTTGTTTTTGTTTGTGACAGTTTCTACCCGAAGTTCATGCGTCCGACAAAAACATTGTGCATTCCATCCTTCGACGTTCGATTCATTCATTTCGAGCATTCCATCCATTTCGTAAACGATCATGCTAATTGAATGTGAGAAGGTAGCATCGACTCAGAGCTGGTGCTAAGCAGGACAGGAATTCGGGAATGGTTCCAAACTTGATCGCTACAAAAGGAAAGTCAAAGTAAAAGCCAAATATAACCGTCTGAACCATGCCATACCTGCCTGCTATATAGCCTGCTATACCTGTCTGCTATACCTGCTACAGTGTGCGTCATGGATCATGGATCAATAACGTTGCCATCAATCTCGGTATAGCGTGACCCATAAGTACACATAATTCGGCATGTATACTACATGTTTCACATCCAATGAATACCGTATATGCAGCTTCAGTAGGTATTTAGGAAGCTTGTGTTCCAGGACGATAGTTGATGTGATGAGAAAATTGTGTTCGAAATGCCAGGCATGATAGGGGAAGGTGGGGTAAGACGGACCAGCTAAGGTTTGAGGCCGCATATCTTGCTACACTGCTCTCGTAATTCATATTATTTATAGTCTTCGGAATGCTCAATCCTTCCTCTGTTGATATGTGTAAAGACTAAATTTCAAATTAAAGACATGTAGGTGGTGGATGCTCTTAAAGAGGGACATGTCAAAAACTCAGACAAGAAAAAACGTGGGGTAAGACGGACCACCCAGCAGTGCCTGCTATCCGTTCATGTGTGTTACACTTCTGCTCTGTACTCTTGTAAGAAAAAGTAACCAGAATGGTAAAATAACAAAATGAGCCTTTATTCTTTACTCATGTGTGATGGAAGTGCAGTTAAAAGCTGGGAACATGCATGTGTTGATTGTCGTTTGGCATGGATGCATGCTAACTGAACACTTGCATGCATGGCTCACATGCAACAAAGACTCCTTCCTGAAAAATTAGCTTACTTAAACTTGTGTCAATGTTTTGGGAAAGAACTTTCCATATGCAGGGTACAATGGACCACCACAGGGTAAGATGGACCACAGTGGTCCGTCTTGCCCCAAATCTAAATTCTGTCATTATCATGACGTATATGTCAAATAGCCCAACATTGCAAAACCTTGCCTTTCCTAAAGTGTGACTATAACTAAGTTTATAACTTTGTTCTTCACAGTTAAGTGCAAAATAGAAACTAATCATGCAAGAAAGGCGCCGTAATTGAATCACCCGTAGACCTCTTATATTAGATCGGTTTGACGAAAAACAACATTTTTCTCAATAACTCAAAAGCTTTGCATCCTAGCAGCATTAGCTCAAGGTGGCCATTGTTACGAAGGAAAACAAACATAGTGAATGCATAAAGCAGTAGATACCAGCAGCGGTTCAGCCGGGAGGGCTGGTGGTCCGTCTTGCCCCGCTGGGCCGTCTTACCCCACCTTCCCCTAAGTACCCAAGAAGACAAGAAACGAGTCTTATAGGGAAACTATTATGTAAATTTTCTCATTTTGTAATTGATGGTAACTGGGTAGTTAATTAGTTAATCTAACGCACATTAATTGCAACATTCATTGATATTCTCTCTCTCTCTCTCTCTCTCTCTCTCTCTCTCTCTCTCTCTCTCTCTCTCTCTCTCTCTCTCTCTCTCTCTCTCTTTCTCTCTTTCTCTCTTTCTCTCTTTCTCTTTCTCTTTCTCTTTGTCTTTCTCTTTCTCTTTCTCTTTCTCTTTCTCTTTCTCTTTCTCTTTCTCTTTCTCTTTCTCTTTCTCTTTCTCTTTCTCTTTCTCTTTCTCTTTCTCTTTCTCTTTCTCTTTCTCTTTCTCTCTCTCTTTCTCTTTCTCTTTCTCTTTCTTTTTCTCTTTCTCTTTCTCTTTCTCTTTCTCTCTGCATGATTTCACTTTTGCCTGTTTCCAGCGATCGACATGCAGTGGTACAATGTCGACTTTGAGGACATGCGTCTGGCTGGAAACGTACTCATCGTCTGCGGCTTCTTCCTGGTACTGTTCCCCAGCAACTGGCCTAACTACATCCGCAGCGTCATCAGGTAAGGAGGACAATCAGGCCTATTGGACAAAACGTCTCTATTTAAAATTCACTTTTCTGTGAAAGGACGTGTCGAGTGTAATTTTACTGTATTTCGTTCAAAACAAGGGCAACTATTCATGTGGCGCAAGGCCGACAAAATAAATACATACTCTGAGATTATTGTATATGATAAGTTCCTGGTGAAGACAAGAGTGCATTAGTCATTAGTCATTTGTATGTACTCTTTGCCGTGGGAAGTGCTTTTCAGCTATCGTATAATGTATGAAGCATCTGTTTAAATTGTGTGCTATTGTGTTTGTCATTGCGTTCATAACGTATCTTGAACGTGAGATGTTTATTGCTTAATGCGGCCCACGTGTGCATTCCATCAGTGTCTCACCATGCGTATTTGAAAGTGATGTGTGCCTGTGCTAGTCTCATTTTTGTGTTTGTTCACGCCGTCAGGTGGGGCAGGCGCCACCACAGCGGCAGCTCTCGAGACCAGCCGGAGCCGGTGGACTACCGTACGGGCATCATCTCCAGGTCACATCTGCGCTCACCCTCCGGGCATGTGCGGTGAACCGTGAACACGTGCAGTGAAGTTCGGGCAAGTGCGGTAAGCTAGGGATTAACGCGGGAAGTCCAGAAAGCTGCGCTTTCCTTCATGAGATGCGCGGTGCTTGCGGACAACGGTTGAAAATTCAAGACAAAGTGTGGTCAATTCCAGGCATCAGGTGAACTGCGGACAGATACGGTGGCCTGTGATCAGTGTAGTGATCAGTGGACACTTATGATTACAGTGAGCGGATGGCACAGACGCAAAAGGAAAAGTGACTAATGTGCAGTGAACTTTCTATTCCTCATCTGATCTTTTTGACACACCTGTTACTTTTTCGTTAGCCGGACTGACACATGATTCAGAAGCAATTTTAGATTAAAAACATAAACCTAAATGCGCTCGATTTGAGCATTCGATTTGAGCTCTGCACAGATGATGAATTTTGAGCCCTCGTTCTGAACTCTCAGGTGTGGGTGGTTAAGTTCCAGATAAAACTGGGATCGTATCGCCCCGTTTCCTCTATGAGGCGGCCCACCTCCGCCGAGCGTACTTTGAACCGGGATGTGACGGAGTGAGTCATGTGGCCAACAATAGCTCCCCGTGACCGTGACGTGAGATGGTCGTGACTGTAACGTTCCGTGATCGTGACTGTAACGCTCCGTGACCGACACCGATCGCCGGAGAGCTCGTAAAACAGAGGTGTTTCGCGTTACTCGACCTACCGCACACGGATGTTGCTAGAACTGAAGTTTAGTTTTCTACTGGGAACTCTAAGCGGCATGTGTGGTAGGTACTGAACAGTGAGCGTGACTCGAGTTGGTGGGAAATGTGATATGGTAAGTGTTACGTGTTTGTATGGACGACTCTTAAACGGAAGATGTTTATTGGATCAATATGTTTCTGTTACATGTGATTGTTGTAGGACAAAGTGTCTGTTTACAGACCTCCAGAAGCAAACAGGGTCTGTGTACATAAGATAGAGTAGGGTCTATGTATAATGGCAAATCTTGTTGTACAATGTTAATTTTACATATCAACGGCAGGCATTTACCAACTGCATATATCCTGTTCATATATACGTTCAGATAGCTACAGCCAAAAGTTATTTCATCCCGTGTCTCCTCAAGGCCAAGGGACTCCTTTCTCATGTCACTAAAATACAACAAGGAACTACTGCTTCCTCCATAGCTTTCCGATGTGGTGTTCGTGCAAGCTGCGTATGAACACACACCTTCTAGGTAAGAGTTGTAGCCGAGATGATTGATAATTGACTGTTGTTAAATGCCGTGCGTTTTATTGAAAAATAATAAGATTAATTGCTTGAATAAGGCAATAGCTCTGCTGGGATCATTTTAGCTCATCTTGAGATATTTATGGCGAGTGTTTGACAATATTTAGATTCCTACTTCTGTATTACATACCTACATCGTTCATTTCTTCTCACAATGTGTCACTACGAACATCGATATCTTGAACGACTGTTGCGATTGTAGGAGGAGAATATACGTTACAATAAATGTAAAATGTTTTTCTTTATTCTCTGTTCAGATGTGACCGAGTTCATCCTACCATGAATGTTTCGTCGCTGAGGCACAGGCGTCGCTGTAACTTAACCGCTAGAGTGCGCTGCAGGCAGAGTTGATTTGAGGAAAGTGGCTATGGAATAAGCAGTTCTTCGATACGCCGAGGCCAATGCACTATGCAGTGCACGTTGTAGTCAGACAACTTAATCGGCGCTAGATACTTTGTAAAAAATTGTAGGTATTGTTACAATTGTAACCTGATCATTTGCAAAAATTCAGAGCCAGGTCATTCAAGTCAGGTAAACAGTCCACGTTTGTTGACCTCGTCTCAAGAAGGAGGTACTTACTCGCCATAGCTACACCGACTCATGATTTTGAGCCTGTGCTTGCTGACCAGATATTTGGAGCGTATATCTGGGCTTTGTTTATATCGGTGACCTAAGGTCAGGTCAACTTTGCGATATGTACTTCTGAAGTGAACGGGAAAAATTGAACTGCACCTACTTAAATCGAACTCCTAATTGGTCTCTTTATTTCGGGTCATATTTAACACCAAAATGTCGTTGATCGGATTAATCCTCGCCCGTATTGGTGTTTTTCCAGCCGCGAACGTATAAGGGGGTGGGTCCGTTGGACCCCCCCTTGCCGTTTCGCCCCTGATCGAGCTAGAGCTTCGCGGAAAAAACGAGCGTGTTGCCCGTGACGAGAGGAAGCCGATGATACCCAATGTTAAGGTCCTAGGTCAAATGACCCAAAAGTCGGGAAAATCGGGACCTGAGGCCTCTTGCACCAAACTACCTAGCTAGGTAAAATCGAAAAACCGGTTTCAGAATGAGCTAATCTAACGATGGTAAATTTGTTTGCAATAGCCCAATACATAATCCTACATGTGCTTGCTAAATTTTGCACTCAAATTGTTACATTTGAGACTTGGACTGGGTTTACGATGCAAAATAATCCAAGCATTGGTGCAAGAGGATTTTGGTGCAAGAGGCCTCTGTTAGAAAGTCGTAAAGCGTGGCTGCTATGGGGTTTTTTCGGGGTGCTGATCACGAATATCATGCTAGTTTTGATCACAGATGATGTCTTCATGCATTTAGGCCAGGTCGGGTCAGGTCAGGTCAGGTCAGGTCAACCAGTAAGGGTATTCGTAGTAGGTGGCAACCACCTCTGACAGCTTCGTAACATGTTACGAAGGCACCAAACCTACTTCGTAAATGTTTATATGGTTGCTAAATTCGAATTCAGCTCCAAAAACTGGCCTAGGAACATGTAAAACTCAAAAAAGTGAGCCGAGGTCATCAAAGGTCAATGACCTGACTTGACCTTCCGGTGACCTTGACACCCACCCTCATGCATGGGAGCAACATCATATCCCATGTTTGAACGCTTAAAACCACGAAAAGACTGCAAACGCACTGCTAATGCGAGTCGACATACGCCGAATCGCGATTCCGGCCAAACATGGTCTCGAAAAGTAGGTCACAGGTCAAAGGTCATTTGGGTCAGGGTCATGAAAATTTTAGGGTAGGTGAACAATTATTCAATGCGAGGGTACTGAAAGTTTCGTCGCGATCGGCCGCTTTTTACGCGAGGTATTCGCGAAAAACCGAGGGGGGGTCAGTTCGACACCCCCCTATACGGGCGAGGGTTAATATGTTTTTTCCCCGTAGCCTGTCCTGTAGCTCAGTTGGTAGAGCATTGGACTCCCGGTAGTGAGAGCCCGGGTTCGAGTCGCTCCGGCGCTCGATATTTGAGACTCCTGACGGGGATGGTCTGCGGTTGGTGGGAGCAGCCGCAGCCAGTTGAAGTCAGTTGAGTGGGACATGCCGTGTCCGGCTTTGAACGGCACGTTAAACCTTGGCTTCCAAATTCTCCCGTTACCCGGATTTGCGCGATCGGACGGTAGGGGTCGGGGTCTACGCAACAAACTCTGCTTAGCGTTGGCTCCGGCTCTGTCAATCCGTCCATTCAAACATTCGAACTAAATTTATAGAAAGAAAATATCCAACAACAGCTTGAATAATTAAGACCTTGACTCCAACTAAGTGATTATCCTTAACCTGAAGTTATTTTAGGTCAGAAAAGTTCATCAGCAATTTCTTCAGCGGCAATATTTGACAAAAAAAAAACACGTGACAGTAGTAAAATATCCTGTACGTAGTACATCGCCACTGCCCAGCTCAACAACACAGATAGACATGACCTTTTCCGGTCAAATCATGAATTTGGATGAGGATCAGAATTTCAAGTCGTCTCGCAGTCATCAAATAATCGGTCATTCGACGCGCTTCCACGATAAAAACATGATGCTGGTATAATTGGTGACATGCATCCTTTTTATCAAAGTTATTGGATAAGAAAAAGTTTCAAAAATTGTCGGAAAGGTGAAACATATGGGGATTAGCAGTTGACTTAAGTTTAAATCAGAGACTAATTTTGCGAGGGAGATTTGAAAGAATAATCGTGTGTTTTTTACCAGATACTCTAGCTCCATTGCTCCAGGTTCATCTCTCACGGGATATGGGCCTATTTGGCCAATCTCAAAGAATGTCAAAATGTGACATTTTGTTGTAACAAATGTGAATGTGACATTTTGGTTACCACTGTTGACCTGACATTTAAATTAATCTTAAAAAGATCCACGGTGTGCCATCACCATAGTCACGATTTAAAGTTTGGACTGCCTTCGTACGAAGCTTAGGTACCGCGTTAACCACTGACGTCCTCCAGGTTTGTTACCATGGCGGATTTGTTATTATAGCCAGCATAACCGGCGTTACCGCTGCAACATCTCGCAACCTTGCAACTCCGCTACCTCTAGCGACAGCCTGTGACGCAGCGCACAGGCCCGCCCCCCCCCCCCCCTCCCCCAGGTGCAGCCCACCGTGCAGCCCATAGCCCCAATGGTGATGACAGGTGGTCCAGCCCTTAGCCCAAGCGACGACCGGCGGTACGTTACAGCCCTCAGCCCCGGAGGAGGAGTTGCAGCCCTCAGCCCCCTTGGCGGGGGGCTGAGGACGCGACTGGCCGCCCGGAGAGAAAGCAGACGCTCCGCGCCGGCCGTCAAGTTCAAGGCTGCCGGCTGACGAGTCCTCCCCGGAATAGAAAGTGCCCGCCGAGACCGACTGACCCGCACGCGGCGTGGGCTGTCGATCTTTGGAGACTGGAAAAGATCATCGCTACACTATGCATTCGGTGAACGAGCGCGCGTGATGCATCCACTCACTGAAACTGACATTAAATTGATGGTTGGAAAGCGTGGTGCACTTACGTTGTGAGAAGAGATATCAAGTAAAAAAAGTCACAGATACTTTTGCTTTTCTGAAGCATGTTAAAACGGGGCTTCATCCTAGACATGTGATCTAAGGCAAATAAATAATCTTCATAGAAAATTTCATATCTGAGAGTTTCGCAAAGGCCTTCGCGTAAATGTTCCGCATCGCATCGCTATTCGCTACTCATCACAATTGATGTTCGATCATTTTTTCAACTAAACACTTCAACTGAGAAATATTCATCCGGGTGTGTTCCACTTCTCCTTTCTTTGCGTTGAAAACACCCAAAATATGCATACCAACCAATTTTATTCACACATCCTGCTGAAACGTGAAGGGGTAGCATATATTTCATGCCCATTAACATATGTAAATGAGTTGAAATCGGTAGGATAGTCTTGGTTCCTACGTGAGTGAATAATGAAAAATGAACTCAAAATGAGCACCTCATTAATATTTCCTTTTCGTAAAATTCATAACTTATTGTGCCATAAAACGAGCGACAACATGGTCTCAAACGATCCTTTATGTAATAATTTCCCCGAAATTTGTTTTCCAATGTCTTAGAAAATACACACACAGAGGCTCGACTACGGCACTGTTTGTCTACTAACGTCCGTTGATTATCCTATGGCGCAGTTCTATTAGGTTGTCGTACAGTTCTACAGGACAATAAAAAGCTGCCATGACTGCCCTTTTCTTTCTTTTGTTTTGATGCTGACATGCCGCCCTCGGAGCTCCTTTTGATCGGCTTCGAGCTCCCGAAACCGCCTTTTATCCCGGCGAGCTCCCGGCCGTGGCCCAGAGCTCAGCTCCCCGCCTTGGCTCGGAGCTCAGCTCCCGGCCCTGGCTCAGAGCTCAGCCCCTCGCCGTGGCTCAGAGCTCAGCCCCTCGCCGTGGCTCAGAGCTCAGCCCCTCGCCGTGGCTCAGAGCTCAGCCCTGCAGCTTGGCTCGGAGCTCAGCTCCCCGCCTTGGCTCGGAGCTCAGCCCTGCAGCTTGGATCGGAGCTCGGCCAGCCGGTTAGCCCGCCGCTCCTTCTCGTCACTGTCTCGCTGACGGAAGGCGGCCAGCACCTCCTCAGGGATCGCGTTCTCGCTGCAAAGGAGGCGAAGGGTGCAAATGTCATGGCTACACATAGTTATTTGCAAGAGAACAAGCGAAGGCTCTTGCTCAAGGGATGATAAAAAATAAGCTGAAATTGTACAAAAAGACGGTGCAACTCCCGCGACCTTAACCCGCGCCCCACTGGGGGGGGGGGCTATTTATAGCCCCCCCTCCCGTTTTTCTGCAATAACTTCCAAACCGCTTGACGGATCGACGCCAAACTTTCAGTACCTTCGGCTGCATCAATTTGACACCTTGTGTCAAAATTTGAACTTCGTAGCTACCATAGGTCGGCCGGAAATGACGTCAGAGTGACGTCATGTTCGTTCGATTTCGACGCAAAACATTGAACCACGGCAATCGCTCCCAAGAGCTTAGTTTTTAAGCTAGATCCAATTTCTTTGCATGAAAGGACTCAGAATTGACCGCGCTATCAAACTGCTATCTCGGATTTTCAAAATGTTGAAAATTTTGAAAATTTTATATAATAATATTCAAAATTTATATTTTTATATTTTTTCAAAAAGTTTTTGACTTTTCGAAAAAACCGGAATATATGTGACAGAAAACATGATTATGACTAACTCTAGCAAGTTTTAGCTAAATATCTTCAAAAATGGCCAAGTTATACGCATTATTGCAAAAAATTCACAATTATTAATTTTTAAAATCAATTTTTCAGTACGTATTTGACATCGTACACCAATATAAATGGCACCATCGTGTTCCTGAGCTCAAACTGCATCCAATAGACACCTTTATTGTTGAAAAATTTTAACTTCAAAATTTGACCTTTTTTGACCTGAAAGTGACCTGACCTAAGCTAAATTCGACTCAAAATGACCTCGAATGACACAGACGACATCAAATTCGAAATCTATGGCCTAAATGGACCATAAAACATGTGTCACGTGACCGACGCATGGTATAATATTTTCGTGACCTGTGATGACCTGACCCTGACCTGAAAATCAAAGTACAAGTTTGGTACCCTCAAGGTATCTAGAGAATCTGTTCACGAGTGTGGAAACCAAAAATGAGCCTGATCTGACTTGTAAGACGGCGGCCAGAGCCCAAAATGTAAACAAGCCAAAATGCCAATAATTTTTACTTTGACCTGACCTGTGACGTCATCGGTGACCTCGAGGTCAATGAAATTAGGTTTCGCTCGACAGTTTTTCCGGGGCTATCAGACGCCGTTTGAATTTTGACGATCGGCCCAGTAGTTTCGGAGTTAGGAGGGGGGGCTATGAATAGCCCCCCCAGTAGGGCGTGTTATACACAGACCCCAGTGGGGCGCGGGTTAAATGGAAATCGCAATTTACATTACTTCCCTTACTCATTTTAATCACAGCTCCAGGCCAAAAATTCACCATTGATACTCAAAATCCTTCTCTATATTCTTCTCTTATTCTTTTTACCTCAATTTCTAATCATCTCTCCCTCAACTCCCCTCCCCTCCCCTCCCCTCCCCTCCCTCACCTCTCCACCTCCCTCTTCCTCTTTGCTGTGCTCTAACTCACCATCCAGGGACCTGCTCGGGCTCGGTGGTGCACTGCCGTTTGACCGGGTCAAACACAGACGCCTCCGGGCAGCCCTGCAGGCGCGGCGCCACCGTGCCGTCCTCCTTGTTGATGCACACGTAGAACTTGGTGCAGTCACTCGGGTGCTGCTCCCTGGTGAATTCGCCCACCTGGTTCTCGGTGAACTCACGCTGAGGACACTGGAAGCCCAGGTACGCTGCAAGACGGACACAGAGGTGAGCGCTCAGTAGAGGGTGGGAGAAAAGAAAGGCGCGGGACCTGGTTGCCGGTTAGGGGAACTTCTTAAAAGTGAAGACGTGGGGCAATGAAAATCAGTTTACATTATACCATATCAAAGATTCAAGGTCGTGATGTAAAGTTATTATGATCGGCACTTCATTTATAATATACCTACACCTGTTGACAGCAACATCTAACAGATCATCAAAATTGACAGAAGGTGCAATAGGTGGCTAAGTGTTCGTTTATAAAAAAGGGTATTACGATTTACGATCAATAAAAAAGGGTGTTACGATCACTACAAGAGCATGCGTTTGTATTCAATTGTTCATGCAAACTAAATCTACATTTTGAGCTGCAGAGGAACAAAGTAAAAGCTTCAGGGTTTGTTTAGCATTCATGGGTCAATCACAAATGAACTTCTACGAGATCATACTTTTAGTCAACTACTAAGCTGCGACACTTTCAAAACTACAATATAGTACTTAGGCAATAGAGTTGAGCATGACAAACTACGACAAAGAGTGGAAAATGAGAACACATAAAAAGTTCAGAACAGAACTACACGCCAGCAAGGACAGCGTAATCGGCAGATTTCTGTTTTTCCTGTGCGACTTCATACAGTTGATCTTCACTCCTTGAGTACCTGCAGCGGCACCTGCGGATAAGAATCACTTGGAACTTCTAAAGTTCGCCGCCAGGTGACACTGAATGCGGCAGCCAATGCGTCTCAGCCTACTGGCAAGGATTGTCACTGCAGCGTAGAGAAGCTGCCTAGCGACAGCAGCTGCAGCAACAAAACCAGCAGCAGAAGAGGAGGAGCAGCAACGACGGTAATGGCAACGGCAGCAGCAGCAGCAGCAGCAGCAGCAGCAGTGGAGGAGGCGCGGGGTCCTCCCTTACCCTCTGTACACCCATCCTTCACCACGTCCGGGTAGTCGCACATGTGGCTATCCTGGTTCCAGAGCAGGTCGCCGGGACACGTCATATCCCAGGCCTCTCCTTTCACGCAGACCTTGTAGCCCTGACAGGCGGTGTCCGGCAGCGCGTACCGGCCGAACTGTCGCGGACAGTCGGCCGTCGCCTTGGCGCTCTCTGCGCAGACCGGGGCGGGTCAGGGGGGTCAGCGGGGTCAGAGGGGTTAGCTCGTTTACCTGTGGCGTCACAGCCCGCGACCATGTCGGCAAACTGGCAGCCCAGGGTGTTCTCATCGAAGGCCAGACCGTCGCTGCAGGCGGACTGGTAGGCGCGGCCGTTGACACAGCGGGTGAAGGAAGCGCAGTTGTCGCCATCGGCTGACCTGAACGTGGTGAACTGGCGCGGGCACTCGTCGGTCGCCTGGGGGTCCTCTGAGGTCATAACATCGCAGGTCAACGGGTGATATAATGTCACAGGTCAGCGAACAATCCTTGGCTGACTGGGGGTCAAGTGAGGTAATAATCTATCATATACTATAGTTCAGAGAGACAGTGGTCACAGGGGATCTTCTGAGTCGAGAATCATTATATAGCTCAAATGAAAAGACACTTCTCGGTCTAAAAGGTTACCAAAGTCACAAGGCGACAAATAGTCACAAACACAAACGGATCAGTAACACTTCTAGATTAGCGGGTGGGGGTCCTCTGAAGTGATAACATCACAGATCCTTGGCTTCTCTTCAGCCTGCTGATGAGCTTCCCTAAGCTCATCGGGCACCCGGCACTGACCGGTAAAAGTGCATCCCTGTGAGATGGCACACTTTGCCACACTCCCTAAAAAGCGGACGTATGTATAATGCGAAACAATGGGAGAAGATGCTTCCCTTCTAAGCGGAATAATTTTGTGGTGGAAGTGTCAGACCACTGTGATTATACCCCCTCTTCCACATTCCACAACAATCGACAAATTACACGGATGTGTTTCCCCGTGGAATTAGCGCTTCACCGTAACAAAGGACGGCGTTACACCATCCGGTCCTCAATTACAGCTGTGTGAATCGACCTTGACCTTGCCGCGCCAGTGCAGTGGCTGCCTGACTACAAGGTATAAAGGTGGGCGTGTGGGTGGGGTTTTGTGGGTTCATGCATAGTTATGGGTTCACTGAAGGAATCTGAGTGTAATAGCAGACTGAAGACAGGGCATTAAACGAAGGATCCTTGGTTGTTTCCGTGAATAAGAAATCGAACCTAACGGGCGACTTGTGGAGAACGGAAATGAGGAAACAGGGATGGCGTGTGGACAATGGCACGTCTAAAGCGACTTATGTGATTAGAACGTATTGCTAAGGCTGCAAGAGGCTCTTCTTTTCATGGGAACAGGTTCAAAATCTGGAGATCATCATCATTCATATTCAGGTTAGGCTCTAACAAAACGCGAAATTGAGACATCCAATTGACGGGCAGTGTGCTTGGATTATTCATGCAACTTTGTGTGTATATTTAAGCTCCAGCCTCCAAAGCAGCACAAACGGTCATTGGCCAATATACCTATATTAAAAATGGCGAATAGCCCGTTATACGATTATCCCGACACATCCAGCTGTAATCTTTCTTATCAATGTCAAGGATTATCTTGATGGTGATATGGTGATGTAATGCGAACTGTCTGCTGCATGTCTAAAAAAAAAATGATTGAATAAATGATCATTTATGCCTACAACGATTAAAAACTAAACAGCAACGTTCTTATATGCATGAACGCTTGCACAATGGCTTGCAGACCACAGCTTTACATTACATCTTTGTGATATGTTTTTGGCCAATATGTACAATCGCTAAATGTACGCGCGAAAAGCTGAAGACATTCCTTTGGTATCGACTGTTTGCCTCAAACCGGCACCTGCTGAGCGCTCAGATCCTAAATCCACCGTTTCGTTTTTGGCAAACAGCCACAACGGATCACGGATTTTCGGATCAGTGTCGGTAGAAAATGAACTTGGTTATCTTCAGCCTGCGAGTAACAAGAGAAAAACACCGGCTTCGACTGTAGAAACGTGTCTGCCAAACGGTGGCTCAGCAATGCTTATCTGACACGGAGTTACCGTTGAAAACGTGTATTGCGAGGATTTTGCCGTGTGCTTTAAGAGCCTGCTCGATGCCTTACTACATTTACGACACGAAACTTTTATATAAAAAGCGATACATATGGGAAACCTTTTTCAAATTATTGATCACTTATAATTTTGTGCATATGAAATTTTCAACCCCAGATAATGATCCATTTTTCAAGGCTCAGACACATATCATGTGTAATAAACCTTGAGGAATCTAGAATATATCTTAAACAGATCTTAACGAATCAACAGTTAACCCGCGCCCCACTGGGGTCTGTGTATAACACGCCCTACTGGGGGGGGGGGGGGCTATTCATAGCCCCCCCCCCCTCCTAACTCCGAAACTACTGGGCCGATCGTCAAAATTCAAACGGCGTCTGATAGCCCCGGAAAAACTGTCGAGCGAAACCTAATTGCATTGACCTCGAGGTCACCGATGACGTCACAGGTCAGGTCAAAGTAAAAATTATTAGCACTTTGGCTTGTTCACATTTTGGGCTCTGGCCGCCGTCTTACAAGTCAGATCAGGCTCATTTTTGGTTTCCACACTCGTGAACAGATGCTCTAGATACCTTGAGGGTACCAAACTTGTACCTTGATTTTCAGGTCAGGGTCAGGTCATCACAGGTCACGAAAATATTATATCATGCGTCGGTCACGTGACACATGTTTTATGGTCCATTTAGGCCATAGATTTCGAATTTGATGTCGTCTGTGTCATTCGAGGTCATTTTGAGTCGAATTTAGCTTAGGTCAGGTCACTTTCAGGTCAAAAAAGGTCAAATTTTGAAGTTAAAATTTTTCAACAAAAAAGGTGTCTATTGGATGCAGTTTGAGCTCAGGAACACGATGGTGCCATTTATATTGGTGTACGATGTCAAATACGTACTGAAAAATTGATTTGAAAAATTGATAATTGTGAATTTTTTGCAATAATGCGTATAACTTAGCCATTTTTGAAGATATTTAGCTAAAACTTGCTAGAGTTAGTAATAATCATGCGTTCTGTCACATATATTCCGGTTTTTTCGAAAAGTCAAAAACTTTTTGAAAAAAATATAAAAATATAAATTTTGAATATTATTATATAAAATTTTCGAAATTTTCAAAATTTTGAAAATCCGAGATAGCAGTTTGATAGCACGGTCAATTCTGAGTCCATACATGCAAAGACATTGGATCTAGCTTAAAAACTGAGCTCTTGGGGGCGATTGCCGTGGTTCAATGTTTTGCGTCGAAATCGGCCGAACATGACGTCACTCTGACGTCATTTTCGGCCGACCTATGGTAGCTACGAAGTTTAAATTTTGACACAAGGTGTCAAATTGATGCAGCCGAAGGTACTGAAAGTTTGGCGTCGATCCGTCAAGCGGTTTGGAAGTTATTGCAGAAAAACGGGAGGGGGGGGCTATAAATAGCCCCCCCCCCAGTGGGGCGCGGGTTAACCCGCGCCCTGCTAGCTGGGGGGGTGTTTGAACACCCCCCCTTGTGGTTTTTCGCGAATATCTCAAAAACGGCGGCGCGGAGCGCCGCCGTTTTTGGTACACCTTATCATACATCAATTCTACACATGTTGTGAAAATTTCAGACCAAGGTCATTCAAGGTCAGGTCACCAGGTCACTTTAAGTGACCTCACCTCATAAAAAGTTTCAATGTCTGTCATAGCTACAACGAGTGACCGATCGCTTTGAAACTTTCAGCGATTGCTAAGAGCAATAGCACGTACAAAATGTATATCTCAGAATTTTGATATCGATGACCTAAGGTCAGGTCAATTTTGCGACCTCCCCATTATAAGTCAATGGGAGAAAATTGAAATGCGCCTCTTTTGGACGAAAGACATTATAAACACTCCCAAACTCTGAATTACAAGTGGTTTAGACACACTGAACATAAAAATGGTGTCCGTGACCCCTGTTTATGCCCTGAGGTCATCTTAGCTCACGAATGGTATCTAACAGTTTTTCGCAAATAACTTTTGATAGAGGCATGCTAGAGCGATGAAAACGCCTTAGATGTGTTCAGCTCGACGATTCGGATCGACTGATATGCAACATGACCCTTTCCGGTCAGGTCATGACCTTGACCTGAGGTCAAATTTTCAAGTTGACCTTTCAAGGTCAAGTTATAGTTCATTCGATGCGTCTTGACGAGAGGAACACGAAGCCGGTAAAAGTAAGCTCGTGCAAGGCTTGGGTCAAAAGTTATTGCAGAAAAACTGTTTCCGAAAAAATCGGCTATTTTTGCAGTTTTTGCACCCTGCAGGCAAAACCGTTGACGTTAGTTCAAATCTGAGAGAAATACTCAGAAAGGGCGTCAATAGGGCTATCGAATGAGCTTTTCCGCGGCGCTGTAGCTCTATTGGTTCCCGAGTTATGCGTTGGCATCTTGGAAATTGTCTACATTCGACCTGGAAATCGACGAAATTTTGCCTTCAATGACCTCTGATGACCTGACCTTTGACCTGACCAAAAAATTGACCGAAGTGATTTCGTCATTATTTTTGACGCTCTTTCGAACGCCGCCTTCCGCGTATCGCTACGTGGCCCAGGAGCCGAGTTAGAAGGGGGGGTGTTCAGACACCCCCCCCCCCCAGCAGGGCGTGGAAATCCAGGACCCCCAGCCGGGCGCGGGTTAACCCGCGCACCGACGGGGGTCTGCGCAAACTTCGTACCGACGGGGGGGGGGGGGCGGATGACCGCCCCCCTGAGATCTCGAGAACGAAGCAAGATAGCGACAAGCGGTAAACGGCAGGGGATACGCACGGACAAGGTCTACAATTTTTACAAAGGTCATTTTCAGGTCAGGTCAAAGAGGACGTCACAGGGGTCAAAAAAGTCAAAATGGCGGCGCTAGGTATGGAGAGAGTTTTTCTCGAATAACTTTCGAACTAGTCAATATAGGAGCAAACTAAGGGCAGCATCGTGATCCCCTCGTCAATCCGTATCGAATGATATATGTTGACCTCGAAAGGTCAAGGTCAAAGGTTGACCTCAGGTCACGTGACCTCGAGTTCATCATGTATATCATTCGATGCGCCTTGACAAGCTGAACACAATGAGACCATCCACGCGGCTGTATCTTGTTCCTGTACGGAGTTATTGTCAAAAAACCGCTGGTGACCTTTGATGACGTCACATGACCTTACAGCTGCCCAACAGCAAAACCGACCTCAAGGTAGTGAAGGTTGATCGTATATGAGGTCATGTATGGTTTATGGGGCCATTCCGACCCGTTTTAGTGGTAAAAACAGGGAGTTGATTTTTCCCCCATTGACTTATAATGGGGAGGTCGAGAAATTGACCTGACCTTAGGTCATCGATATCCAAATTCCGAGACATACAAATTGTAGCTACTAATGACCTTATAACATCCTGCGACTTTCAAAGGCCTCCGACATCTACTGTAGCTCTGGCACGGTGACAAAATTGCAAAAAAGTGACTTGAGGTTGGGTCATTCAAGGTGACCTGGTGACCTGACCTTAAAAGATAGGAGGTTCAAACTTGCACACCATGTGTAAAATTGATGAGAGAATAGTCGTACCAAATTTCGCGGCGCCTATTCGCGAAAAACCTCAGGGGGGCGGATATCCGCCCCCCCCCCCCGTCGGTGCGCGTGTTAAACCAACAACAAAAAGATGTTCAATCCAGACCAGAGACTTATCAATTGTGTAACAATTGATAAGCCAAAGACAACAGCCAGTATGTGTCTAACAGTGATGGCAACCTCCGACTGCCGCCGAATGTCATCGCTCGAAAGTAAAAGTGTAGCCGGCTCTCACGATGGCAGTTGACGCTGCCGTCACCATTATTTACGCCATCTCTTTGGTCCCACCGTCAGTCAGGCGAACTCTGCGTGAAATGAACGAATGACAGTCTGTTCTGTGTCAAATGACGCCATTGTTCGCTCACCCCGAGGTCATTCTATGGGTCTAATTGACCCGGGGAGGTCATGATGACATCTCTGAGCCTCTGATGAGCGTATTGCAAGTCGGTCATATATCAAGTCAGAGGTTACACCCGGCTTTGTTAGTAGTTATGGCATCGTTGAAGCTATCCACAAGCTTTATTCATTTAGCTTATCCTGAGTTATGCTAATGAAAGCGAAACCCACTCGGGTACATTCAAGTTGTAGCTGCCAGATCCTCTAAAAATGGCGACCTGTCGTGTCAATAAAAACCGCCTAAAACCGGCTAAGGAGGGTGGGGAGACGGGGTGGAGGAGTGGGCGAGATGGTCGCCTCAGGCGAGACACCCGTCCCACCCGAAGTTGTTAACCTGGCTGACCTTCCCGGTCGCTATGCACATAATCTGCGCGCTGTTCTGGTCCGGTCGCCTCATCTCTGGGGTGTCCACACGGCGCGGGAGGCCGGTCTCTTGCGACATCGCACGCCAGCAGTCCGCAGCGCCCAGCGCCTCTCCTTGCGCTCCCCTCCCCTCTCTTCTCGATTATATCTCGGCGCAGTCCGCCTCAGCTACTCGGGAGTCGGAGTCTCGGGACTTGGATCGGGATTCCATATCGCTCCAGAGCTCGTTTAGTGGGATTAGTGAATAAAGAGAATATTCAGCATCGTGGGAACATATCTATTATCTACCAATGATAAGGTCTGGCTCTGGTGTTTAGAGCTCAGATCCCTTCGAAGAAGGGCTTGGTAGTTACGCAATAGTCTCAGTGCCTATAGTTTCAAGAACATCTTGAACACCTGCATGCGTTCCTCACACAGTTTTTTTTTGCGTGACAGCTCTTGTTAAAACAATGCCGGTCCCGAAGCGGCAGTCAATTGCCCAGTACCATGTGGAATATTGCAGAAACGTTCTAACAGGAGGAGGGCCCATTTAATGTTCTGGGTCTTTAGAAGGTTTTTACTCTTTGGTCGGAGTGCCACCTCCGGGTCCCAGTGGCAGATGACGCTGCCGCAGACGGCAAACAGCCTCCCTGCGGCAGCCCCACCCGAGATAAGCCTGGAGACGGAACTGGCTGGCGTCACCACGTCGCGGTGACAGAGTTATAACCCACCACTGACTGGTCATCCGCCGAGACGGAACTGCTGCCGCACTCCGCCGCGGTGAAGGAGTTAAAACTCTACCTCTGGCCAGCCCCGGAGCGTGAGTGACCTAAGCACCTCCGGGATCGCGGGACAAGAAAACTGATGGCTCTGCTTCTTTGGCGTTATTTTACACCACTTTTTACCCTGGTATTGGAGATGGACAGTCAATGGTCTGCCTCTCTCAAGACCTTGGAGCGATGTAGATTTATGGAAAGTAGCCCGTGGTCCAAGGTCCTTCACCTTGAACCAGGAATTATGCAAAGTAGAAGTGATTCATGGCCCCTAATGATAAGAATGCTGGACCGTTTTAACCCGCGCCCCACTGGGGGGGGGCTATTTATAGCCCCCCCTCCCGTTTTTCTGCAATAACTTCCAAACCGCTTGACGTATCGACGCCAAACTTTCCGTACCTTCGGCTGCATCAATTTGACACCTTGTGTCAAAATTTGAACTTCGTAACTACCATAGGTCGGCCGGAAATGACGTCAGAGTGACGTCATGTTCGGCCGATTTCGACGCAAAACATCGAACCACGGCAATCGCTCCCAAGGGCTCAGTTTTTAAGCTAGATCCAATTTCTTTGCATGAGAGGACTCAGAATAGACTGCGCTATCAAACTGCTATCTCGGATTTTCGAAATTTTGAAAATTTCGAAAATTTTATATAATAAAATTCAAAATTTACATTTTTACATTTTTTTCAAAAAGTTTTTAACCTTTCGAAAAAACCGGAATATATGTGATAGAACGCCTTATTATGACTAACTCTAGCAAGTTTTAGCTAAATATCTTCAAAAATGGCCAAGTTATACGCATTATTGCAAAAAAAATCACAATTATTAATTTTTCAAATCAATTTTTCACCACGTATTTGACATCGTACGCCAATATAAATAGCACCATCATGTTCCTGAGCTCAAACTGCATCCAATAGACACCTTTTCTGTTGAAAAATTATAACTTCAAAATTTGACCTTTTTTTACCTGAAAGTGACCTGACCTAAGCTAAATTCGACTCAAAATGACCTCGAATGACACAGACGACATCAAATTCGAAATCTGTGGCCTAAATGGACCATAAAACATGTGTCACGTGACCGACGCATGATATAATATTTTCGTGACCTGTGATGACCTGACCTTGACCTGAAAATCAAAGTACAAGTTTGGTACCCTCAGGGTATCTAGAGCATCTGTTCACGAGTGTGTGAACTAAAAATGAGCCTGATCTGACTTGTAAGACGGCGGCCAGAGCCCAAAACGTGAACAAGCCAAAATGCTAATAATTTTTACTTTGACCTGACCTGTGACGTCATCGGTGACCTCGAGGTCAATGAAATTAGGTTTCGCTCGACAGTTTTTCCGGGGCTATCAGACGCCGTTTGAATTTTGACGATCGGTTCAGTAGTTTCGGAGTTAGGAGGGGGGGCTATGAATAGCCCCCTTCCCCGGTAGGGCGTGTTATACGCAGACCCCAGTGGGGCGCGGGTTAATGCTTGCGATAATGTGCGATGGCCTAGTTAGCGGAATTCTAGAAGAGTTTCATTGAATTGTGGTGATTATCACTAAGGGTGTTCTGAGAACAGGAATTTAATCACTCGCTAACGATCACAGATTGAAACATAAAAGATACCGTCTTGTCACGCTTCCCGCCTTTCAAAACAGTGTGATATATATAACAATAACGATGGCACGTGAGCATATGACACCAAATGCAACTGGTCCGTCATTGAATCAGCATTACTAAGAACGAAGAGAGACCATCAGTCATCAGTCTGGACTGGAGGAGTACTCACGGAGTCGGCCGGAGCGGGGGCAGCTGGCCTCCACCGGGTAGACGCAGGGGTAGGGTCGCTCCGGATGGAAGAGCAGGCCGTCCGGACACAGGTGCTCCTTGGCCACGCCGTCCGTGCACTGGAAGTACTTGTCGCACTGCTCGTTGTTGGCGAAGAAGCCGTCGGGCTCGGGACAGTTGAAGTTGACGGTGGGCTCCTGCTTCAGCAGGCTGTTGGAGCTGCTGCGGGAGGCGCTGCCGCCCGTCTGGCCCAGGGAGCTGCGACCGCCGGACGCCCGAGAGTTGGTGGTCACGCGCCGGTTGGAGCCGAACGTGGACCTGCCGAAGCCGCCCGTGTTGGAGGACGTGGATGACGAGGAGGAGACGGTGCGTCCCGAGCTAAAGCCGCCGGCGCGCGAGGACTGGCTGGAGAACTGGTTGGAGCGCTGGCTGCCTCTGCGGCTGTTGAAGCTGGAGCGGGTCTCGGCCGAAGTCCTGGCTCCGGGGGAGGAGCTGGAGCTGGTTCTTCGCGAGGAGAACCGATTGTTCGAGAACTGAGCCTGTGTCTGCACCGCCACTGCAACACAGAACGGCCGGGTGTTAGGAGGAGTTAGACGGGGGTCTTTGAAACGTTTGGATGGGAGTCTCTGAAACGCTAGCAAGAGGAGGTCCACGCATTTGCAACGCAGTTCAGAGCAGATGTCACCACGGACCTACCTTTCATCTAGGCCCCATCGATCCATGAGAAATTAATCAAACTATTTTGAAACTCAATTGGCCAACGGAAGAAACAATGGAATGGAATATGACCTCTGTTCAACTGTTTGACTTATACAGGATAAAATCTTTTTATTGTCTTTTTCGTAAAAAAGGTTGCTATTACTAACACCTTTTTTAAAACACCTTTACTATAACTGAAAACGTTTGATGCAAGATGCAAGAAGTGCCAACCAGCTTAACATCATTATGTTTCTCCCATCGAGACGCGTCGAATTAATGCCACGCCTCGACGCGGATAAACATCGACTATACGTATAGGTTCTTAGAAACCTGGATAAGCAAAAAAAAAAAGGCATTTTAGCAGGATAACAACTTTATTCATTGGAGCCGTTAAGCGCTCAGCACGTGGCCGCAGTGCCTCTCTTAACCCGTCACAATCTGGTGACTTCCCGTTCTACGGTCCCCAGTCGAACTTTACATGCCGTCATCGTATGTCCATACATGCACAGTGGCTGGTCGAAAATTAACAATTGAGAGGATCAACACAATTATGCGTTTCCCAGACCTGTGTCGCACACACAGAAAAATATTGACACCGTTAGCGGTGTAATTGCACAGTACATATCTGAGCACTTGAGGAAAGTTAATTTAGTCCCTTCCCCGCTTAAATTACTCGCGCTTCTAAATGAACACCAGGAAGAAGGTAATAGAACACTGTTAGGAGGGTTGGGTGTTTTACTACATGTAGTAAAACACCCAACCCTCCTAACAGTGTTCTATTACCTTCTTCCTGGTGTTCATTTAGAAGCGCGAGTAATTTAAGCGGGGAAGGGACTAAATTAACTTTCCTCAAGTGCTCAGATATGTACTGTGCAATTACACCGCTAACGGTGTCAATATTTTTCTGTGTGCAGGTCATGTGGACTATATAAGCCGTTTTTACGACGGCTATCTGGTGCACATTTCGTTCACGTTGGTGCAGCTTTGGTGCAGATTTGGCGCAGATTGTGTAAAATTAGGATCCCGTTTTTCTTAGTAGCTACCATCTTGGGTTGCACAGTTGCTTATGTACCTGACTGTTGAATCTTCTGGGCGGACAGCTTAAACGCACCGATAACACGTCCTGAATTTGTATTCCCGACTGGTTCCACCGAAGTGATATTATGAACGCATTTGACTGCTTAAAACAAATATAAATTTACGCTAACCGTTACGCTAATTTTCAAATTATCAGTCATTATGTTTTATTAGAACACAAATTCGTGTTGTGAAGACATCTGTTGTAAAAGAGATTTGGTGCAAACTTAGCCAAGTTTGGTACTTTCGCCAGATAACCTGTCGTGATACAGCGAGCTGTTAAAAAATAAATAGAATATGCTAGGACACTAGCATGCTGTAATGCAAAAAACATTCTACCATATTTTCAGATATCTTTTGTAACTACGAACAACCCTTTTTTAACAATATTTAAGCCATTGAATGATCTTGATTACGATTGTAACGGTACATTGCAATCGAATTGCAAAGAACCGCTGCAATTGCAGCTTTGGCATTGGCCATCTCTTTGGTCCTCTCTTTGGCCATTAGAATGATATCTTGTGTGCTTACGTAATCGCGTACCAAGCGTCGATTTAAAGCAAAAACCCATATAATTCGCCAAAATGTGTTTGAAGTGGGACTTAGCCTCAAGACGAAGACAAATGCAACGATGAGATATTCGGGGACTTCGTAGATTACTAAATGATCTGGTCAGTTGCGAGTAAAAATTGCAACACGGTTGCCCAATATATGATGGCCGGAGCTCTATGGCTGCGGGCTTTTAACAGTTCTCAAGGGATGGGCGTGCGGAACATCACGCAATCTATGAACACATAGAGAAACTAGGCCGGGATGCACGGTTGAATATTGATGAGCTTATGCCTTCATATGTCAGCCGACTACATATCGCTCGATTGGTATTTGAAATGAAGCCGTCGAAGGTTACTGAAATGGTTGCTGTATTCGTATAAGGCATTCATAAACTTTACAGCATATACAATTAAATGCTTCCATCAGAATATGAGAGACGTTTGCGTCTCGATCAAGCTAAGGTCAACATGCAAATCATCTTGGCTAGCTTTGCTGAGCAAAGCAAATGCTTTTATCGCAGGCACTACATGTAGATGCCGAATGCGAGTATCACGATTATCATTATCATATCACGATTATCATTATCATATCACGAGTATCATTATCATCACGATTATCACGATATATTATGTATAGCCCACCTAATTATTACATCATCATAATACATATATGTATGCATAAACAGTTCAAGAATAGCACTGAATACGTATCGCGCTATTCAGCAATCCGCCCCGTAATTTATTATTGGTGGCCACGGCTTGCCGGTGAACTACATTTTTGCCCTGCCCAGGGCTGCGGAGTCGGAGTCGGAGTCGGTTGGAGTCGACAGTTCTGACCGGAGTTGGAGTCGGAGTCCGAGTCGATTTTGGAAACCAGAGCCGGAGTCGGAGTCGGAGTTAGCGAAAAATCCATCGACTCCGCAGACCTGGCAGGGCTGCGGATTCGGGAGTCGGAGTAGGAGTCACTGAAAATCCATCGACTCCGCAGCCCTGGCCCTGCCTAGTGCCTACCTCAAACAATTTCTAAGCGTGAAGGAAAATATATCTAATGGCTAAACAAATCACAGCTTTTAAAATCTCGAAAGAAATTTCAAATGTGGGTTTTTGAACACATTCACATAGCGCTTTTACTTTAATTTCACAGAATACCACGGGGACTGCAGCTAAGTTTTTTTACAGTTAAAAATGATAAACCTCAGCTGACCTCGTCTGGATACTCACCGGCAGCGCAGCAGAGCGCGATCAGGGCTAGACGACACGAGGCCATGGCGAAGTGAGCGGCTCGGGGACCACCGATCGTATGCCGGACGGTGGCGGCCGGCGGGCGGCGCGGCCCCGGCCCCGGCCCACCGCCCCGGGCGGGAGACGATCCGCCGCGGACGGCGGCCGAGTCAAGGCGAACCGGCCGCCGCCGCCGCCACCACCCGCTCTCCCGGTATCTGCCGACCCCCTCACCCACACAACCCCTCACCAACAACCCCGTGTCTGTGAGCTCTGTCCCGCGGAGCTCTGTCAAATACCTGTCGAGCCGATATTCACTTTTATTCATTCGCGTTATAGAACTTCTGTAGGAATTCGTTTACATATGTATATCTAATCTTCTTCACACCTTTCTTTCTTTCTTTTCTTTCTTTCTTTCTTTCTTTCTTTCTTTCTTTCTTTCTTTCTTTCTTTCTTTCTTTCTTTCTTTCTTTCTTTTTTTCTCTCTTTCTCTCTCTCTCTCTCTCTCTCTCTCTCTCTCTCTCTCTCTCTCTCTCTCTCTCTCTCTCTCCCTTTCCCATCCTTTCTCTATCACTCTCCCGATGCCGCTCAACACTGCACTGCCCGGTTGCTCCAGTCCCCTATCTTCCCTCCATCGTGAGCGCGCCGGTCTGTGGAGCACATTCATCCCATTGTGACCACCATAGAACACAGCTCTCCGGCTGAGCGGCATTGCAACACGCCGCTCAAGCGACACGCAGAGCCGATGGCGGCGGCGGGGGCGGGGGCGGCGTGAGCTCTTCTGGTGGGAATGGCCGGTATGCCAGTGCTTCGTCACGATGTGCGGGACGGGTGCGGCAGCCGAAACCGCGGAGCCAGGAGTCGTGAGGTCGTGGTTGCGGCAGCGCGAGGGAGGGATCTGAAGAATAGGTGTGTGACACACCAGATGATCGGAAGAGCCAGTGATGATTGGCTGGGTTGTTGGAATTGGATGGATGAATGGGATAGCGAGATCATTACACTCAAGGTATAAATATGGTATGATAGCGACAATAAGTTGTTTTGTAAAAGTTGTGGTGTTAGGCGATATCCCGCGACCGCCTGGGGGGGGGGGGGGTCGGATCCGACCCTCCCCCCTCCGTTTTTCTTAAATAACTCATGAACCGCTTACGCTATCAACTTGAAACTTGGCATACCTTCTCGCCTATCTATTTGACGTCTCCTGTGTAATTTTTAAGAAAAGTTTTCAAAAACTTTTTGAGATATATCGATTTAAGTGATGTAACTACATGGCGTTTTCAGTCAAAAAGTGGTATATGTTTAGAAAATCGCCAAAATCAGTCGGCCGGTGACCGCGAGCCAGGTCGGACGTGCGCGCCCGTGGCTCCGCCCCCGACACTGAGACTGGTCGGGAACGCACCGAGCGGCCTGAGCCGGACAGTGGTGCCGACGACTTTTGTTCGAACAGCCCAGCAGCGATGGCTGTGTGATTTTTTTTCTGAACGGTGAAGCCTGTGGCTAAGATTTTGAGTCGCAGTGAGACGCTCGTGACTTAGAGTGGTGTGTTTTCGTGCCTAATCTGCCGCCATGGAGAGCGCAGGTGCCAGGGACACAGACGCCGAGCACAGTGAGCGACACTCAGTCAGTGAGTTAGTGCGAAACTACAGTGACTCGCACAGTGAAGGACAGAAACGTGGCCGATCTGAGTCAGGTGACCCGGCGCCGGCAGGCAAACGTGGCGCCAGACAATCTAGCGGCGACACCAGTCGCAGTCCAGCTGCGCCGGGCAACCGAGGCTTCAAGGAGTACCTGGAAACCGCAATCGAAGGACTCGAGAACCGGATCATGTCGTCGCTGTCGCAGGAACTACACGAGTTCCGCGAGTCGCTCTCGACGGAAATAAGCAGACTGCAGGACCGCGTCAAGGACCTGGAGACGCATGTCGAGGAGCGGGACAGCGTGATCACGGAGCTGAGCGACGAGCTCAAGAGATCCAGAGCAGAAGTTTCGGCGCTACAGACACGCGTAGAAGAGGCCGAGATTAATTCGCGATTACCATGTCTCGTCCTCTCAGGCTCGTCCATGGCGCCCCGCCATGCCCCGCGCCTGGAGCCGCCCCTGCTGGCCCAGGCGGCGCCCGGGGCGGTCGGCGGGCCTCCGCTGGCGGGCGCCGGTCAAGGTCAAGCTGCGCTGACGTCACAGCCGGCCGGCCGTCCAGCCGGGGCGGCGCCGGGAGCGTCCGCTGCGGCGGCTGGTGGCGATCGGCGTGGTACGCATGGCACGAGGGGCGGCGAGCGGGATGAGCGTGAAGACGTCAACGCCCTTGTCATCAACACCCTAAACCGCTCGATGCCGGGACTGAACATGTCGATAAATGACATCGACCGAGCGCATCGACTGCCGGGCCCGAACAATCGCGTGATTGTCCGCTTCGTGAGCTCTGGACAAAACAGCGTCCGCGATAAGGTGTTCTCCCGCCGCCTAGAGCTGCGCGGCAAGGAACTGTTTGTCAACGAGTCATTGACAAAGCTACGAAGCCAGATATTCCGTTCCCTCCTCGCCGCCAAGCGCGAGAACAAAGTATACACAGTGTACTCGCGTGGCGGACACGTGTTTTTCAAAGACAAGCAGTTCGGGGCGGGCAAGAGAGTTGACTCGCTCCAGTCCGTACGCGAGCTCGGTTTCGGTGTGCTCGATCGCTGAAGATCGGCAAGCGCCCGAGCGCCCCAGAAGCGGTTGTGTTGCGGTGGTTTCGGTGGTTGACAGCCATCACGGACCGCCGACACCGCGACTTTGAGACGGACTCCTGAAACGGCGGTACTTCCACGAGGTATCGCTGTTCATCTGCACGATAAGTTGAGTACAAGTGGCAGCAATGCCTCATCGAGACATGTCACTGTTCGAAACGGTCAACGTACACGTGCGCTGTTTTCAGTCAACATTTGCAGTCAGCTGACCATCCGGCAAATATAATATTTTTTATATATTTGTCTGCCATTGGCTAGTTTGCTGTCGTCATGCCTTTTCCGCCAGTGTTTTTTTTTTTCAGTTTTATTCATGTGTGTTTTTTTTTGTAACTTAATGGCAGAATCAAAAGACAGCCAATGGATACGTAATCAGAGTCCATTGACTTTAGAGCCGCTCTGTGATAGAAATACTGCAAAGTTCAGTATTTCAGTTAGCAACTTTCCGTTTATATCTAAAAATGATTGCTTTACTGACAGTTTGTTTGGTGATGGCTGCCACAGGCTTCAACGTGTTAGTTTTGTTTCTTGATAAGTTTTCTGTTGTTTTTCTTTCGGACCTTTGCTATATAATGCTTAATACTTTGTTGCGCATCTCGTTTAGTGCAAGTGTGCGTCGCACGATGTGTCACCGGAACGAACGCGTGCTTTTGTTAGTTCATGCAGAACCTATTGCAAGAGATTCTTGCTCAGCCTCAGCACTGTTCCACAGATTATTGCCCGCGATCCGGCTCGGCCGTGGTGCCCCCCGCGGGGCGGCGGTTTTGGCGGTGGCGGCGGTGGCGGCGGCGGCGGTGGTGGTGGCGGCGCCCGCGTCTGGACGTGCAGAACAAGTAACTCGCCCTCACACCGGGGTGCGGCTGCCACCCGGCTCGCTTCATGCTGGCCGCGCCTGCGGCATCTCTTCTGCTCCTCCTGAAAGACCGTCGGTGAGCGACAACAACCCTTTCACTCTCTTTCCCGCCACAACCGAGCACCGATTGACACACACACGCACACATGCGCGTCCATCACATCACGTAGCCAGTATTTCACCAGGAGGCAAGCGCCCAACACTATCCCCACGAGGAATCACTAGTTACGCAAGGCAAGTACTATTGCAAACCTCCATGTCCACAATTAGCGATATAAATCACCACACAAAACAGGATAGGTAAACTTAAGATAGTTTCGGTTAATACAAGAGGCTTAGGCAGTCAGATTAAACGCAGAGATGTCATGAACTACTTAAATAGTATGAACTGCGACATTATTCTGCTTCAAGACACGCATCTAACAAAAGAAAAGACAGCTTCTTTTAACTTGTAGTCAGGGGAAGGAGGCCCAATTTTGGGCCGAATAACGCAAAATTGGGTAGAGCTTAGCAAAGGGTGGTTTCTGGGACAAAAATGACCGCTGAATCCGAATCTGACCGGTGCGCACCTCTAACTAATGTTGCACCACTTCCAGAGCACGTGCAACTGCGTGGTTCATCTTTTTTGGAGAATGGTACCTTTTTAATGAATTGCAGTGTAACGTCGTTGATATTTGAGATATTGTTTTGATATTTTGTCCTTGTGCTACAAACACATGGCGTAATTGAAAGCTGAAATTTTGCAATGTTCGGGCAGCCGATGACGTCACCGTGACGTCATTTACCTATAAATGAGTTGAAAAAGTCGTCTTGTCCTTAAAGCATTTAACTTTATTCCCGTCGTATGCAAATCAGAGAAGGGAAAATAATCAAACATGATCTATGAACATTTCTGAGTAGGATCATGCTAAAATCGTTTTTCCAGAGGTACATGTGAGTCACATTGAGAACGTGACAGTCCAAGTCACCAACTGACAAATTTGGTCAAACTGGATGAAGTAGTACAGCAGATTGATGAATCACGTGAAATAGGATATTTTTATATCATTTTTAGTGTTCTGGCGCTGCGACGGCATTTAAATCAAAATACTGTTGGCGTTAAATTGACTAAATATCGTTCCTTTGGTCTTATTTATAGTTCAAATTGTATAAAAAAAATTTATTTCAAGTAAATATCCATTCCTATGAATAACGGAAAGTCAGCGTGGGTTCAGGCTAGTCGTTACGTTCGTTTGGCTAGCGATAAAAAATGATCCAGAATTGTGCTTGTCATGAAGACTGGAAAGAAAATAAACAGCTGTGGTTTATCAAAAAAGGCAAAAATCACCTTAGTAAGAAAGTGAAATATCTTAGATATTTGAGGAAAACAATCCAAGATCAAAGCGAGACCACACGATAGACGATGCAGGAACAAAACAGTACCTACAAAAATGATCTAACAACCTCATAAACCTGTTTTGTGTGAAGTGCATTTTTTTGGGACTACATTGCAAGTGAAAATTCATTTGTATCAAAGGAGCATGGATTCGTGATTGCCCTATAAAGTTGAAGCTTGGTGACACCTTCAACATGCATGCGGCTCGACACTATCAGATGCTCTTGGAACACACATGGAACCGTTTTAGACAAAGCTGCAGAATGCAGATTGATGATGACGGGCACGACGAGCTGAATATGGAGCTCTCCCAACT